CATGCGGTTTAAAGGCGGCAGCAGGTCCCGGCTTTGTCGGGAGGCTTTGGGGTTTTCTTTTTCCCTAAGCTCCATTGAGGAGCAGCCCGCTGAGCGCTCCCCGCGCCCGCCGGGATCTCCCTTAACCCCCGAGCCCGGGCGCTTACGGCTGACGGCATCCTTGAAGTAGGTGCGCTCGGAGGTGTCGTACGTGAACTGGATCCGGCTGAGCTTCCAGGACGCCTCGGGGCCCCGGGACGTGTTGTGCCCCTCCTGCCGAGACAGACAGGGCCGGTGAGGAGCCCGCGGAGCCGCCGCGCCCCCGGCCCGGCTCCCGGCGTGCCCGTACCTTGAGGAAGGAGAGTTTGAGGGTGTACGCTTGGTCCAGCCACGAGAGCTCCAGCTCCGACTCGTTCGTGCCGCACTTGCCCTTCATCTCGGCGCCCCGCGACAGCGGGATATCGGCTTGCTCCGTGATCAGCTGCAAAAGGGAGCGGGGCTCAGCGGGGCGACCCCCGAGTCCCCCCACCCCTGCCCCGGCTGAAAATCCTCGGAGGGAATAAAGGACTTTCCGAAAGTAGCGGCAGCTGTGGGAGCGTGTGTGTGCCCCCTGCCATCCCCGGTCCTGCTGGAGCCCCGGACCCCCGGGCCCCACTCACATCCACATAATTGCTGGCCCACACGTCGTAGGGGACGATGAACTTGGCGGCGAATTCGGCCATGAGACACGTCGTCCGGTTTTCCCGCACCACGAAGATGTCCTTCTCGGGGTTAGGGGAGAGCCCGGAGAGGTTTTCAACTTCTTGCTCGGCGGCTAGGCGAGCCGCGGCGTCTGCGGGCACAGCGGGGCTGAGCGCCGGCAGCCCGAGCCTCTGCCGCTCACCCCAACACCCCCCGCCACCCCCAGCCCGCTGGAGCGAGCTACTCTATCGCGACGGGGTGCTCCTGTCGCGACTGAGCAGGTGGAGGCGATGTGGCAGCCGGCGGCGGTGATGCGAGACCGGTGCAGTGTCAGCGCCGGTCCGTCAGTGCCAGCGGCTGCCTGGTCGCGACAGGGCTCCGTGTCGCGACTCGCCACCCAGGTACTCACGCAAGATGAAAAGCAGACCCGGGAGAAGCCCCCCGGCCATTCTCCCTGCTCGGTCCCGGCGTGGCCGCGGCTGCTGCAGCTGCTCCTCCGAAAGGTCCGCTCCGGAGAAAAGAAAAAAAAAATATTAAAAATAAAAAGGAGAGGGGAAAAAAGCCGCACACCTCCTTCCTCAGGAGCCGCGCCGGCTGCAAAAGCACTCTGCTGCGGAGTGGTGGGGAGGAGGGACGGGGAAAGTGTGTGGGTGTGCGGGGAGGAGGAGGAGGAGGGGAGATGCCGGCGGAGCTGATGGAGCGCCCACGCCGAGGGACGGGGCGTACGCAGCCGGGCGGGGAGGAGGGAGGAAGGGATTCCCCCCCTCCGGCGCCGGGCCCCGCGGAGGGGCTGCCGGGGATCCCCGCGGAGCTCGGGCCGAACGAGGCGCGCCTGGAGCGGAGCGGGCTCACCCCGAGCGCTGTCCCGGCAGGGCCGGCGCTGGCAGCGGGCCCGGGACCCCTCGCCCCGCGGTCCCTGCCGGAGAAGCCGGCGGGGTGGAGGAGGGGACACCTATTCCTGTGCCGGCTGCTCACACAGCGTCACTAATTTCGGTGAAGGCGAACAGCTGCTCCGCGTGTTCATTTAGGAAGAAACGTGCGGTTATTTTTGTGCGGCAAGGTCGGAAGCAAACGCGCATCCTTCTGTGAGCGGCCATGGGCACACCTGAGCTCTAAGATGTCCCAAACCACAAGGCGCACCGTAACATAAAACCCAACAGTCCGAGAAGGTGCTTTAAAACAGGAACAACACAGCCCGCGCGGGTGTTTTGTGGGCACAGGCAGGAGGCGCGCCTCGGAGGTGGGACAGGGCGAGCCGAGCCGGGGCACTCAGGCTTTGTCCCTGGCCGGCTCCAAGGTGCGGCACAGAGAGGGAGAGGGGCTGCGGGGCGGGGAGAGAACTCTGGGGGCTGCCCGCCCCCTGTCCTGCCGGCTCCGGGCCCTCAGCCCCGAGCCGAAGAGCGCCTTCCCTCCCTCGCTGCCAGCCGGGCCAGAGCAGCGCCGGCCCCGGCAGCGCGGGCGATCCCAGCCCGGCTGCGCTGCCTCTCCGTGCGGGGAACTGCGGCCGGCCCCCGTGCTGCTCCCTTGCTCCGCTGATGCCACACTGAAATATTTCTGCCCCCTCGCACAGGGACCTTTTCTTTGGAGCTTTAACGCGCTGCCACTCTCGCCCCGGTACCAGGAGCAGATCCAAATATTTACAACTTACAGCGACACCAGTCCCAGGAGCAGCGGGGATGAAGGGCCCTACCTGAAGATGGTTTTTCGGTAAAAAGCCAAAGGGACAGCAGCGATCCGGAGCGATAGCATTATTGGATTCACTACCAACCCACATTTCTAGTTCAGGAAAAGGCATCTGGAGAAAACCGTCCAAGACACTGCCATCCAAGGTGAGTTTTGATTGTGGGCAGCTGCCCTTTCTCTGCCAGGGCACATACTTGCAGAGAGGAGCTTTCTTGCTGGGAAATGGTTTTTTTAAAAAATAAAAACTGATACTAAAGGAACTTTTTTTTTTATACTATAGTGTTGAAATTTCCTTTCTGTACATATTAAATATATTCTGACCATTTCCTCTCTCTCTCTCCTGCTTCATGATAAAAAGCCATTCCTGCACACCCCTAAATACAGTCAGACCTGTGTCAGTTGTGGCACAAGATTAACCTATGGATAATTATTTCAGGGGACTATATAGGAAAAAAATTTAATCTTGTAGAAAATAGAACCTTTGACTGTAACAGGCTGTACTTCTGTGATGATTTTAGTGCCTAGCTTCCTCAGGTCCTACACTGATGAGCTGTAATGTTTGACTGCCCTTTATTTCCTTCTCTTCTACACTATTTAAATTCCAGCCTTTTTGAAGTTCCTAGGTAGATTTTAAGGCCCAAAATACATGATTCTGAGCAGCTTCCCCTGCATCCAGCCTGTGCAGGAGGGTCCAGGGAGCAGCTGGGAGAGAGCAGCTGTGCTGGATGCAGGGGCAAGGCTGCCCCCCAGCCCAGAACTGTGCTCCCCCAGCTGCACAACACAACAAAGCCTTCAGCTCCAGGGACAATTGCCACTTCCAGCCTGAAGAGCAGCCTTCATCCTGCTCTCCGTGGCAATAAAAGGGAAAGGCCTAAGACTTCCCAGCACTGAGAAACCCCCAAAACACAGAGAAGGAAGGTCTCATCCCAGCGAGCCAGTGCAGCAGCAGCCACCCTAAAATGCTGTGAGCAGGGGCAGTTCATGGTCCCAGAGCAGGCCCCCTGAAACCACCCTGCCACCTGCCCTTACCCCCGGCTCTGGAGGACGGGGTGTCTCTGAAGGCTGAATCCCCCTTGCTGCCCCCAAATACCAGACAGAACAGCTCTTACCAGCCTGCTGGAAGGGAGCACACAGCACGGGGACAGCCAGGCTGCAGCGCTGGGACCACTACTACCACAGCCAGCAGGAACAGGGCTTTAGGTCCAATCAGCATTTACCACTTGCAGCTGGTTTCACAGGCAGCACCTGAGGGTGATTTGGGGTGGTTTCTTAACTGCATGCAGGTGGTACAGGGGGGCTACATAGGCCCCCACCTGAAAGCAATCAGGTTAACGACAACCCCCAGATTCCTGCAGGTGAAAGAATAGCAGGCTGCCTAGGTGTCATGACCATCCCCAGCACAGCTGAGCTGAATTTATCTGAAGCGATTCGGAGAGGGAAAATCTGCCACTACCCTCCATGAAATTTCACTGAAGTGGAATCTATCACCCCGGCAGGGAATGACATTTTAAACTGCTTTAACTCAGTATCAATGTTCAAATTGATTAGCCTATTTCATCTCAATGGAAATTTTCACCTCATTACATTAGCGGCCAAACTTCAAATAATTTTTGAATCAAATACTGCTTAAACAGTATTTCAAAACACTTAGCTGACAAAATTCATCACTTAATTTCAAATTACTGCCTGCATTTTATGCTAAATTGTCAGTGGATGAAATAGGTCTCAGTGTGGGGAGCTGAGGCTGCAGCTGAGGTCTCCTGCTCGGCAGTTCCACAGAAGCCCATTTTCCTGTCTGCATTGATGGATGGCTCGCTGCTGGCTGAGCAGGGAGCACAGTCTCAGACAGGGGCTCTGGACAGTATTTTCTGTCCTTCCAAAACCTGTGTTTTCCCCTGAGGGGACGGGATGCTCACCAAGGAATTAAATAGGCAGGTTTGATCTTCTCAGGGACATGCCCTCCATTCCCAGTGGCTTCTTTAGCAGGGCTTTCCAGCCAGGCTCTACATGAGCTTAAGATGCTTCACCATCCAGTCCTCTCCATACCTGGTCTGTCATTTGCTCCTCCTTACAGGCTAAAACCACTGCAGTAGGCAACAGTGTACAATTCCAGCTCACGGCACTGTCTCCACCAGCTGTGTTTTAGAGAACATTTTTAATTAATGAAAAATCATCATAAAAATCCTGTCCAGCATGCTCTGAAAACACTTCTGCTTTGAGCTCCAGCCAGCACTTAAGCCAGGCTTAGAGAGTGGCTCTCAGTACTCAACTTGTCTTTTAAAACATTATAAAGGACCAGGAGCTACCTTCCCAGGCTGTGGCACCAGAATGGGAATTCTGAATACTCATCCCAAGTCTGCTCAAACCCTGCTTTAAACACCTAAAGATTCACTGACCTCTGTCTCAGTTGCTGCTACACTGCACTCGGGTTGCTGCATTTCCAGGTTATGCTGCTGCACTCCACTGGGGCAGTTCTCTAGTGCTGCACAATGCTCTATCACTTATATGAAATTTAAAAAAAAAGACTCCTTTGACTAAATAAGCTGTGATAGAAATATATTTACACTATGCACATTTTTACAGGAAATACAACTTGCTAAAAATCTGCAGTTAATAACACCACCACCCTGCAATTCACTGCAGTCAAAACTAAAGGATTTGCATTTTTAAGGTTTTTATTAGAGAAGTTGAAAGTTTCATCTCAGGGCTGACAATAACATAATTATCTCTCTTCATTTATTTTGTTTATAGGAATATGTAGAATTTGTTTGTACAAGCATATACAACAAAGTAATTGGTGCTTAGTACATTGAAATCAGAAATCTGATTTGTTCTAAACTACCAGTTTTCCATGCAGTCATCTTTGAATTGGCAGCATGGACAATTTCCAAGCCGAATGCTTACATGCATTGTTTTGCAATATAACTACAGCAAGCTCTGGAAACATGCAAATTAACACATTAGCAAATCGTTTTTATATCTAATGGACATAAAAAGGTTATTCCTGATATGAAATTCTGAAAATCTGCATAAATACTTCTGTGTAAAATTAAATTAGTTATGTACTTCTCTTTTACTACAAGTATCAAGAATGCCCACGTAATTAATATACACACATATATATAGAGACCTTGTAATGCTAAAAGTCTTTGTAATTAATCAAACAATATTCTGTGCCATACATTTACTCATTATTTACCAGCTAGTAGCATGACTGTGGTCATATAGTAGGCATGACAGCCTTAGTAGCATTTGTATCACATGCAAACATACTCTTAGCATTTCTGTTGACTAATTTTATCACGTAGCAACATGTATGTGATTTTCTACAATGTTGTGTTTCCCAAGTGTATAAATACTTTTTACATTTTCACAGTTACAAACTTTTTTGCCAAAAGCCATTTAAACAATTTTTTAAGTTACAATGAACTGTAGTATCCGGGATCTGCAACAACAGGATCAAAATGCAATTTCTATACAAGCAATGTGGGATGTAAACTTTTCTTAAAGTGCCTAATACGTAATTCCTTAGAGCACTGATCAGTTTTGGCACGAATACACTGTATTTCCCTCAGGTTATCCGCTGCAGTGACTTCTACAGGATACTGGCTCCCCTCAGAATTGCTAGAGTTGATATGGCACTTGTGAATGACATCGTTAGGCTGCAGAAATACCCTGTCAAGTTACTGCTGCAGCCCATGAATTTGGCCGATGACTTTGTACACGCTGTACTTTTGAACATACTCAGTTACCTTTCCACTGCCTGCTGCCTGAAAAAAACCCATTTAAATATCATTTCAAATCAAACTCAACTCCTTACTGTCCTAATTATTCCTTGGCATAAGGTCCCGTTCAGTGGGCTCAGGGAACATCAGTGTGGAGCACCTGACAAGGTGTGGCCTGGCGGGGTCTGGCAGCGCGGGGCTTCTGCACAGCACAGCACACAAGAGAACACAAATGGGAAATTACACCACTCGAGCTACAGCTTTGCTGCCATCTGAGATGATGTTAAAGGTAACTCCCGGGTTTTGAGGCTCTGATCCTGGGATTCTGATGCAGGCAAGGTGCCTGGTGAGATACAGAAAGGAAAACAGGATGGGGTTTAAAAAGCTCTCTTCATCTTCAGGTCGGGGTTTTTCTGAACAAAGGAAATTCTTATGGAAACCCCACGAAGGAAATTCAGTGCCCAGTGTTAAAAAAGAAACAATGCAAACCTTAAGACTTGGTGGTCCGTAGCTACCCTTGCCATATTAAGAACAAAAACCCAAAACAAACCCCTGCCAAAAACATAACAAACCAAAAGCCCACTCTTCAACCTCAGCAATGTTATTCTGAATTTTGCTCTCATTTTAAGGATGCTGTGCTCTCCAACTTCAATTTGCTTGTTGAGGCTTTAAACCACTGTTGCTGGCCTGCGATCCATCTCTGCTTCCAGCTTCACCATCTGCTGCATCTCCTTTGCCTGCAATCCAAAATAACCCATGAAGTGTTGCATTAGACCTTTTGCTCCCAATGAAGCACGTTTCACATGAGCGTGTGAGTGAAACACAGGCAAAGCACACTGAAGAGATATATAACATTATTTTTACACCCCTTGTCCCCCCACCCCAAGTCACTGTTTTCAAAATTGGATGTAATACTTATATCTACAAATTCTTAGGAAATATTTTTTATTCTATTCTAGGAGTTATGGATTGACTTTCTAAAGAAGTGTGTGATAAAATGCAGAAGCCCAGTTTTGGGGAAGAAGTCAGGCAGATGACAATTTTTTTTCCAGATAGGAAATATCCAGGAATGCATTCTTACTGCTGTTGTGAGAGTACTGCAATGTGTTAACGCCTGAAATTCATCCATGATCTGGACTTGTTTCTTTCATAAAGACAAGGAAAGACAAAAACCCATCAGTGTAACATCTCTCTTGCTGTAGGCAAGAATTTTAAGTAGTATTTTTTTTTAATAGTGTATTTAAAAAAAATAGTATATTTTATAAAAATCATTTTTTTCTCTGACCTGGAGATCCTTATGATTAGAGGGAATGTTTTTCACCTCAGGATTAGAGCATTGCTATGTGCTCCATGGGATTACACACCCTGAATCCACCTGAAACTGTATCCAAATGCATCATGCAAAATCCAGCAATGAATACATGGCAGACCTCAGGATAAACTCTGCCTGCGTCGGGCTCTGCAGGCAGAGGTAAAGCTCTGTGTGTAAAATGGTGACTGGCCTGGGAATCCCCTCTCAGAGGGCACTTTTTCAACTCCCTTCCTCTCTCTCTCAGATGCACACAGAGCCACATTCTCTCCTCCTGTTATCGTGTTTTGGTTTGAAACTCTGCAGTTTCAAGGAACTGAGGGTCAGCTTCTCCATTTTCCCTGGGGCTTCTCAATCTGGGAAGTTATTTAAATCCATACCCCAAGGACCCTGAATAAACTGACCCTAATCCATCTATACAATTAAACTCATGAGCATTAGGACAAGTTTTAGGAAGAGACAGGCCAAGCACTATTTTCTTTGGTGTAATTGCTGTATTATCCATCCTGCAGGGAAAAATGCTTAGAGGACTTGATTTATTTAAACTATATTGCCCCAGAAGTTGTAGAAGTTGCTTAGACAGGGAACTTTGCTATACAGGCTGCTACTTAAGGAGTCACCTATTCTGGATGTGCAAACACACATTTGCATAGGTGAAAATGGGCAGATGTAGGTCTAGAGTAATGAGGGTGCACTTCTATTCCTTTTCGAGGTAAATGTGGATTTATGCAGATGTGACATACCTGCCTTCTTGAAAAATCTAGCCCTGCACTTGCTTAATCATCCTTATCATCTTCTTGGGGAAAAAAGTAATTATGATAACAGCAAAGCAACCATCATAAATATGATTAAAAATTAATTGACATTCTCCATTTAAATGACTTAAAAAGCTTGAAAGTAATGAAGAAATAATTTTAACATGAAAACATGGAAACATAACAAATGAATCAATATGGACAACCTCTTCTGAAATGTTGGCTGGATTTTGCCTGTGTGGGAGATGAAACATCCAAACAGAACAAAACCCAGTGGTTTTTTCTCAGTGACTCACACATTTCACGTTTCAGGCTTGTGACTTGACTACAGGCACACAGTGTCCTATAAATATTCTGTGTCCCAGTGTAGTGTCTGTGGAATTCTTTTAGAGAACCTGGCTTCAAAGACCACATTAGCATCTAGCAGAGGAGCAGGATCTCGTTTGTGCTGCTCAGAGGCTGGATCAGAGAGTGCATTCTGATGGGAACACATCAACCCAACAGGACAAGGCTCTAGAATCTACAGTGGATCCATGGAGTCAGGGACAGCCAAGGGACTCTGCTTTCAGGGTGCTCTCTACTGAGATCTCACAACAGCTAGGAAACACATACAGTAAAAAATATATATATTTTTTTTCCCCTAGCCTAATGAGAGTTTTTTCATTATTATGTGTCCATAAATGAATGTTGTTACAGTGGGTGCTGTCGGTAGTGCAAGATGTTATCAGTTCAAGGAAGTGATTCAGACCAGGCAGTGCTGCACAAGGGGATGTTCCAGCCCACTGCAGCTCCTTCCCTTGGAAACACAGGGGTTAACAGGGATTTCTTGGAGTAACGATTATTTAGGAAGCCACAGCAGCACAGCCATATCGTAAAGTGTAATTGCCAGAGCTCGCAACATGTTGGAATTTGAAGTGAATTTTAAAGTGCTCTTCCACAGACACTAGGAAGCTATTTCCAGCCATCTATTCTATATTTGGCTATTCCTAGAGTGGAATTACTTATTTTATTACCATACTGAGATATGTGGATACCCTTTGTCTGACTATCAGCATTAGCAGTTAATCATATGTGTGCTAACACTAAAATACTTTCCTTAGATCAACAGACACTCGCACAGACACAATTTAGAACTCTAAGCAGATCTTCCAGTAACAGCAGCTAATGCACAAGTTAATCTCTAAATATTTCCTCTGTGCATCACCGTTCATATTCATCTGCATTTCAGATGCTAAAGCACAAATACTGCTAATGTTGTGTCAGGCTCAAATATATGTGTGCAAACAAGATTAGCACTGCGCTCACTGTGTCAATGGCACTTCCCAATGGTTGCATTTACAAGGAGGGCTCCAATGATAATGATTTAATTTAGAAGGAAAGCACACTGAAATAATAGTTTGCTTATTATACGTCCATCCTACCTTGTGTTTGAGACACTGCATGACAGGATTTCAAAAGCTGTTTGTACAAAAATAAAAATGTCAAAATCGAGTAATACAACAAGAAGCAAATTAAATGAATGAAAACTGAAGTGAGATTGAAAAATTAATGCAAGAAAACATACATAAAACAAAACAAATTTAAATTTACAACATTTTGTACTGAAGGCTGTTTCCACCCATAATTCTACTTTTCTCCATTGTATATTTGTATGAAAATTTTCTTGCCTTGTTCGATCAGGAAAAAAAAGTGTTTCAAAATCCACATTAAACAAACACCCCCAGGATCCAACTAACTTCCATACATCAGTGTCTATAACAGTGATACCAGAGCCAGCTGGGGAGTGCACTGGTGCACTTTTGGGGCTACAAGGAAATGGTCCAAACAGCACATATGGAAAGATATGCCCTGATGGATCAAATTAGAGTGAGTTAAAAAGCTGTTAAGGACAACCCCTGTGGTGGAGGCCCCCACAAGCCCACACAGGAGTGATAACCAGCACACAGAGGAGCTTATTCCATTTAATAACTGATGATTTATCTGACTTAAATGGCAAATGAGCAAGCTCACGAAGGCTGCTGCCACCCCTCAGCTGCAGAGCTGTAAGCCCAGGTGAGGATGTCTCTAACTGCTCCAAGAGGTGACCCTTCAGTGACTCACACTGATCCCAGCTCCCTCACACAGAACATGGTTATCACATTATGGCCAAAAGCACAATCAGAATCATTCTCTCCTCACCTTATGTATCTTAAAAAATTGATCCAAAGCTCTCTGAAGCCAATGGAAAGAAAGAACTGATAACACCATAGCTCTGGATCAAGCCCATCATTTTTTGGGCAGCTATCACAGTGACACTACACATCTGCCATGACCCAAACTCCTCCCCCAGGTGCTGCCTCCCTGCCTTTAGATGCTGCTAAGGAGCAGACTGACAGCCAGATCCATTCGTGCTGGATGCTGGAGATGGCACCTACAGCAGCCCTGTGAGGGAGCAGGCTGGGATGGTGGCTGTCACCCAGCAGGAGGCGCAGTGACCAGCAGAGCCCTGCCGGCTGGGGCTCGGTGCTGGCAGCCACCTGAGATCTCAGAGTGCTGTCCCCCCTGCAAGTTACCAGGCTGCAGCTTTGGGGCTCTCTCCTGACACTGGAAATACCTGACTTGCCTGTTCTATTCCCTTCCCTATCTCTCTGCAAGATGGCTTTAATTTGTACCATGGTGTCTTCCAGAGAGTTCAAGTTCTGAACATTTACCAAATAAGAAGTGAGTACATAGTACCCTTAACAGTAGTGAGTATTAAATGCTCCCCTTCTCTCCCACCTCACTGAACTGCTGGGTATATTCCCCTTGCAGTTTACATTTTTAAGTGCAGTACTGCAAGTCCATGCAATTATTCCAGCTCCTCTGGCTCAACCTTTCAGCAGGGGAACTGCTCAGAACGTAGCATTGCTTCCACCAGAAATAAGATTAGAATTTCCCTTTCCTTGCCAAGTAATTTTTCAATTAAAAAAAAAAAGAGCTTATAAACTAGCAGAAAATAATAAGGTATTTTAATTAGGAAAGGGTGTACTAGTACAGATAAAACTCCCCATGCTACTGTACATCTCTAGAATTCAGTCCAAACTCACTGTCTCTCACAGTTCAGAGACTCTCTGGGCACGTTCCTCCTCTGATTTTTCAATCAGTACTAGAAATGTAAGTTCCAAAATGAAGTAAACCGAGTTGCTTGAGTTACTTCTGGGGAGTAATTAAAATGGATATGCTGGGTCCTTAATGACTGTCATATCTGGCTAAGGAGTATCAGTGTGGCTGAATAGCTGAAAGGGCACTCTGGCTGAGCAGCTCAGCTCCCACAGGCTCAGCTGAAACAAACCTGCTGCCGCACCATCATTTCAGTCACCTCTTCATTCTGACTCCCAAAGTAGGCAGTGACCAGGAAAAAGTGCCCAGTTTAGTAAGGACTTACATTCAGAGGGATTCTACTCAGCCTGACTCTGGTTACTGTTTTCTCTAGCTTGCTTTTCTCCTAAGCCTTTAAAACAAGGTACCTGCTCATTCTGCTTCTCCAAGACTTCTAAGTGCTCAAGTTGAACTTTTTTCAGCTGATCCATTTCCTTTGACTGCTTCATTGCCAGCTGTGATTGAGAGAAAATAATGGGAGGGAGAACATAACAAATTATTAACAAGTAAAATAAAAGCCTGCTTGAAAGAGACACACATGCATGCTGTCTTGTCCCATTTAGGTGGCATAAAACATCACAGAAGGCCTACTGTATCACCCAAACTTAATAAAAGCTTAATATTATTAATTAATTATATTATTAATTAATAATTAATTAATTATATTATTAATTAATAGATAGAATTAATAGATACATATTATACATATTGCACATAATACACAGACTTGGCAAACACACAGGAATGACCAGTAATTCTGTTAATCCAAAATAGCTTTGTCTTGTATAGATGTCAGATCTTTTATTCTACTAGTATGTGCAACAAAGCAAAGATAAGAATCTACCAGAGCTGGATTCTCAACACAGAATGAGAATCTTTTTCATTCTCTCAACAGAGGAATGAAAAAGAACATCCAGAAGCAGTGCCCAGTGACTTTCAAGGTTATAGTTACCCTTTTTCTCTCTTCCAGGAACTTTTTTGTGTTGCTGCTGTTCAGTTCTCTGACTCGCCTGAAAAAAATGAAAATGTTCTCCATGAAGAACATTGGAAAAAAATAAACCCAAAAGCTGCAAGAGAGAATCACAAACTCTTCAGGTGTATTTTATTTTCTGATTATCTGTACCAGGTGGGACTAATGGCAAATTGTACACTCCTCTGGTTCAGAACTTTACACTTAAGAGATTTCCAAGTATATTGGCAGTATGATTGAAGGCTTGACTGCTGTGAATGAAGTTTGCTTCTTCCTTACTCAAGAGTGGTGGTCAAAACTTTAAAAAAAAATAAATAATGTTTAATTAATTAATTAATTTGTGCATCCCTTGCTGCAGTCTGTTGTCAGTTTTGGTTAAAAAAAAGTGCTATGTGTCTTAAGAGTGGAAATGGAAAAAAATAATTTAGTGATCATAAGTGAAGTTACACTTATCAATACTGCAAGCTTCTTAAAGCTGCTATTTATGCAAAAATATAAATATGCTATTAATAGTTACATAAAATAACTCAAGCATCTCTGCCTAGGATTTCTGCCACGACAGAGAACAAAAATAGTTCAAACAGTTGATTCAGCCCACAAAGCAGAACTGCTTTCAGATCTGGGAGCAGATTTCCCTGGGAGTCATTAGTGAGGTCTGACACAACAAAGCAAACGGTTACCGAGGGCTCGGACAGCTCCTCCTGCTCATGAGCTGGGGTGTGCAGCACTCAGGGGACCTGGCTCAGGCTGTGGCACCAAAATAGCCCAGTGCCAGGGAGGGATGCAAAAAAGGAAAGAAAGAGCCAGATGGCAAGGCCAGAGTGAAGGGGAAACCCCAGAGGCTTGTAAGACATCATTGTGTAGCTTCTGCTTTTACTCCCTTCTCACCTCACTGAAAAGGAAAAAAAAATACAATGCTCTTGAATTATTGAGAATTAGAATTATTAAAAGGATAAACACGAGAAAAATCACCATTTTTTCCTAGAAGGGTCATCTAAAATTTTATCCCGCACAATCTTTTGACCTTCATTTCCATCCATAAAAGCATGGTTTTAATGGAATAATCCACGGCTTCCCCTGTCAGCCTCTAGCAGCATTCTTCCCTTGTCAGAAGGGACACTCACCTCTCCCTCTCAGCTTTGTTTTTGATGGATTTGTCTTGGCTGATGGCTTTGCTGTTCTCCATGGATATTTTGGCCTGGTTGGCACGCATCTCCTTGCTTTCCCTGGGCAAAGCAAACACACTCATTAATGCCTGAGGTGCAACCTTGTGAGGCTGGGTTCCTCTACACTGGGGTTACTTTTCCCTTGAAGTATTAAGGAAGAGGAAGGAACAAACAACACTAAAATTCCCTTTGGGTAGAACTTACACAGTTTGAGCAGGAAACCAGAAATCTCCATTTATTCCAGAGAACATAGTTTGAAAGATGAGTTCAAAGCATTTTCACACTTTGAATATTGTAAAAGGGTACAAAATACTCTCTTTTCTCCCTATTATATGAGCTGTCCTAGTACAAGCTACTACAAAAAATGCAATTTGTCTTTTACAACTGCCTAAAAATGTACTAATCCTGCACTCAGAAGGTAACAGCAGCATCAACAGTAATAATGTTTGCTATTTGTGGTTGAGCTGACACTCTTAAACCTTCTACTTTGGGCCTGTGGGCCTGAAAAGAGGGGTTTAGGCCATGGGCAGGCTTGTGTTTGGTTTCTCCTACTGACTCAGTGAACCTTTCAGCCTTTCCTGTGAAAAAAAAATTTAAAAAATTTTTATTAAAGAACTGTGGAGCCTTTTTTTTTCTTTTCCCTCCAAGAGTTCATAAAGTTGAGCATTTCCTGGATACAGATTTACAAGCAGTGGTATCACAGCAAAAATTAGTCTGGGTTCTAAAAAAATGATGTGTTGAAAACATATTTCACTCCAACAATCCTGTCTTCAAATGAAAGCTTTTATTTTCCTCACTGAAATGGAAGTGATTTTCAAACACACTGTCTTAAGAGGAGTGCTGAAATAATTTCTTTTGATTACTGTGCTGAAGGATATGAAAAAAGTCAGTGTAGGTGTTCAAAGTGACTTAGCCTGTTTGCATCAGATACAAGTTGAGAGTGGAATAAGTTAAGAGGATTAGAGGACTACTGTGCATCACTGATGATTTAGAAATGAGGCATTGGCCATGGAGGTGGCTGACAGGGCCAACACATCACGCTGTCTCCAGCAAAAACACTCTCCTCCCACAGGCAGTGGTGATTGCTGCAACTGGAAGAAGTGGATAAGCCACGATGGTAAAGAAAAGAAAAAGAAAAAAGGATTCTGAAAAATGCGGCACTGCAAGATTTAGCTGCTGATTCCCTACTGAGTCATAGTGACTGCACCTCTGAAATTTATACAAACATGTCTTTTGAAGGGATACTTAACTTTCAGCATGACAGTCTATCCTTGGAATTTATATATATACTTAGATGACACCAAAGTGCATTAACATGTCATTTTCTGACACCAGTATTGTTTGAATAAATAGAAATCTCTTCTTCTAATAAAAAAAAAAAATACCACACAATTTCTCTCTCTCTCTCAGGTTATTTTCTCTGGAGTACATAATGCCTGTGAGTACCAGCCTCATGTCCCCAGTTGCAGACCTGCTGCAGGATCCCCACCTCCAGACCAGCCAAGGGAACTCAGGCTGGGGAGGCAGGGGCTCAGCAGCACCCCTGCAGCTCAATATGCTTCAGGTTTTGAGCAGTATCTACTGCCTTCTGCTTCATTTTTAAATGAGCCCAAAGCACAGAGAGAAATTGCTTTTTGTGCTGCCAGGGAGGGAAGGCACCTTTCCTTCAGCAGGCATCATTTGAGATTATCGATCTCTGCTACAGCCCTGTGGCCTCTGCTGTGCTCTCCAGCTGATGAGGCAGCTCAGAGAGAGGGAAGTGGTGAGCACAGCCTGCTGAGAGCCTGCTCTGCCCCCACGCTGCCCTCACAGATCCCCCTGCTCCTGCCGACAGACCTGGACTGGCTCCTGGCCTCTACAGACAAGGACATGTCCTCCTACACACAATATATTACATGAAAAAGTTCACAAATCGTCAAGTGATGCCTCTTTGGGGCATTATTATTCACATTTCAATATTTCACAGTCCAAATTCTTCTGAAATATTCATAGATTCAGACACAGTCTTAAATTTGTTTTTAACAGCAAAGTCCCCTGTCTGCACATAATTCCCAAATAAGCGGAAACATACTAAATTGCAATGAATAAAGCAGAAAGAATATTGAAGGTTGTTGCTCCTGGGACAGCTGAACAAAGAGGCTTCTTGATATTTATATGGATGCAAATTATCAGATCTGGTTCTTAGTGCCTTTAAACACAGAGCAATACAAGGACTGAACACAAATATTTCTAATAAGAAAGCAAAATCCAGGCTAAGAATATAAGAATCATATACAAGAAATAATAGAGGGATGCTTAAACAACATACAGATACAGAAATTCTAAACCCAAAGATTAAACAATGAGAAAAAAGCTTTTTTAAAAATCAAAGTTTTGCCTTAGTGTATATACACTGGTAGGCTGAAATAATAGTTTCTACCAAAGTTAAGAGAACATGGAATTATGTATGGAAAAGAAAACAAAAAAAAATTACTTTTACAGGCCGTATATTAGTCAATAATCTTCCAAGCATTCTGATGACTTTTAAACAGGATGGAAAAAAAAGACTCAAGGAAAAAAGAAAGTGATGTGATTTCCTGGGCTGATGCCACCAAACATGACTTAGAGGTACAGAACCAAGGGCTGCACCTTCCTCTAGCTAATAGTTTTTGAATGATGAATTTGTATAATAATTTAACAGTTTGTGGACTTGCTATTTGACTGGGTATGTTTTGCAGGACAGCTTGAAGAGATGGGCTAGCACAGAGATTAACATAAAGATGAGCTCAGTACAAGCCTTTTGCTGGGACAATTCTCTGCTGGATGAGAAGCTTGCAGCTCCCAGCATGTGTTCTCTCTGATGCAGAGACATGCTGCTTTTTGCTCAGGAATTTAAAAAATCTTTCCAATTCCTTCTTCAAATGTGATTTGCTTCATTTCTTTTCCCCCCATGATTTTTATGTGAAAGGTGCTGAAGACAATTACATACAAATCTACATATGAATATATATACTTTGTGTATACACCTATTTCATGTCCATACACTTTTAGGCTGCTTTGGATAAGAGAACAAAGAATAAAAAATGATTCCTCTACTTACCATGATTTTTAGCACTGTGTGCATTTATTTGATTTCAAATGTGCATTTATTTGATTTCAAATAGGCAGGATGGTTAATTACAAAAGCATTAGCGTCATGTAGTGTCCTCTGTGTGATTATAGCAAGATATTGTATGACGATAACACATCAATCTAATGTAGCTTATCCTGCAGCCCCTTTTTACCTCACTTCTCATGGATCTTTCTTACAGCCAGCAGCGCTATAAACACGAGTCCCCAGCTGACAGCAACTCGCAAGAATATTTCTGTATTTTCTACTTCTCGGTTTCCAGCCTCCAAATTGAAGTTCCTGGGTAAAGTCAGTGCAAACTACAAATGCTTCATCATCCCTGCTGCCTTTAAGGAGGTTCAGATTATCTAAATCAGCTAAGAAGCCCATTCCTACATCTACCTGTTGGAGGTTAGAATTTTCCTTTTTTTTTTCCTTCTCTCAGGGAATTTTGTCCCATTTGTTGCTAAGAGACGATAATGACCGGGTACCTCAGAGAAACAAAATAAATGGCCAAGGTGGGGGAAGGATGCAGATGTACTCTCCTAGCTGAGGGGCTTTCTTCTGGAGGGCAGAGGTAATGGGAAATTTTGGCTGGGGGTGAGGCTGGGTTCGCTCCTGTGGCTGGTAGGATCGAAGGGGAGATGCTGCGGTTGCTGTGGGGAGAATCTGCCACTACTGCGGGGTTCTGCCTGCTATGATATTCTCCTACCATGAGCGAGGCTCTGCTCCTCAGAGCAGCTCTTGCACTGGGACCTTATTGACGCCCAACCTCACTGGAAGGGACCCTCACCATCTCAGGGGAACACCCGGGGCCCCGCGTCCCTTGCCTCTCTGAGGGAGCCGCTCTGAGGGAGCCATGTTTGGGAGCCAGGCCGCACCGTTCCTCTGTCCCTGCTCCGGGGCTTTTCTCTGCCCTGTAACCGCACACCTCGGCTTCTGCTGCATCTCCTGTGTCCCTCTGGGCCTGCTGGCCCTGCCCTCCCAGCCCTGCTCCAGTTCCCCTCAGCGCTGTCGCTGCCCGGCCCAGCCGCCATCGCCGCGTGAGGGAGACGCGGCCAAGCCACGGCGCCCCCTGCTGGAGCAGAGTCAGCGCCCCTGCCCGGCCGGCAGCCAGCAGTGCCCCTGGTGGCCGCGCCCGGAACTTCAGCGCGGGGAGAGCGGCCGGGGCCGGGCTCTGCTCTGTCTGTCTGTCTGTCACACACAGTAAAGAACTGCTGCTCCTGTTCCCAGAGCTCTGTCTGACAGCCCCGTGATTTCAGAGTTATAATAATTTGGCGGGAAGGGGGGTCACATTTTCCATTCCGAGACGTTTCCACCTTCCCTGGCAGACATGTCTTTCACCAGGACACTACCTAAACCTTGCATGGCTGCTTCTTCCACTTCTACCCTGCATTCACCCAGTGCCTTTGGAGCTGTCAATGCAAACACTAAAGCATTAAACAGAGCAGACCCAAACCAAGCGCTCATTATGAGGCAGCACTGCCCTGCTCACCTGTCATGGGAGAATTTCAGCTGCTGGGTTTGCTGTTCGTGAGCGTTAATGAGCAGTTTCTTCAGCAGTTCGCACTGCTGGTTCAAGTGCAAGTCGCGGATTTCCTGCTCCTCGGCGCTGTGCGTGTTGATCATCTCGGACCACTCCTTGGTGTGCTGAGCCACGATCTCTTTGACCTGCAGGGAGGTAACACCAGCCCTGTTAGAGGCTCCAGAGAGAGCAACTCCTCCTGCTGCTGAAGGTGATGCACAGACAAGCATAAAACGGGTTCTAAAGAACACAGCTAAATTGTGAAAAATGAAGTTGCACAAATGAAGTTGCTTCACAGATAGCAAAGCCACTGAGGGCACTGCTGGGTGGGTATAAAAACGCTGTAAACCAAACCCTACTATTAAGACGTTATTACCTAAAGTGCCCTGAATAGAGTGGCTGAATAAGTAGGCTCTTCACTGTATTACCATTGTTTTAAAACCTTCTCTAACATCAAGCGAATAATAAAACAGCTTCACGCTTTTGTTGCCAAGAAAAATTTATATATTGAAAGTACTGAACTTAACAATGGAAAAACGTAGCGAGCAGGATTTCTCTGAGGGCCTAAAGATAGCCTTTGATTTTGTGGAGACAGTTTCACAAACACAGAGCATTTACAGAGAAATCCTGTATTTAGTACAACCTGAATCTGAAGATGGGCTACCTATCTTTGTTTAACAGTCATTAAGTCAGCAGGGAATCTGACAAGTATTCTTCTCTTGCTTATCTCCCAAGCCTCACAAGAATAATGAGATTAAAGTTTTGGAATGTTCCCAAGAGACAGTATTAAGAAGCCTAAATCACCAGAATTGTTATTATAATATCTCGCGCTCATTGATTTCAAAAAGAAGCTAATAGAAAGATATGTTTTAATAACCTTTAATGATTATCTTTAGGTATTTTGACACACTATCCTACTTCTCCATAAATGGTATACAAAATGTGCCTCCCAATAAATCCACCTTCAGGTAATTATTTCAACTACAACCAATAACATCTGGGTCATCTTTCATGAAAGGAAACTCGATCCCTTTTAACAAAAATTGCCACCATTTTCCTTAGAAAGTGAGAGAATGGCGAGAAAATGAAAGTGAGAGAATTATGCAAACCCTAGCTAAATATCTTAGCTGAGGTTTGCATAATGAAGAACAGATTGTCTTGCACAGGGTGGTGAAGGTGAAGAAAGTGGAGATTTTATCAGCCCCAGTCTCCATTCTGCCCTGGAGAGGCTCCTCTGAAGGGCCTCTCACCTAAAGCTCGTGTTGCCCAATAAAGAAGGGATCTAACGAAATAAAGAAGTGAGTAATTCTGGAAAGGGCAGGGTGACTCCTACTACCTGAAAGCCAGATTTACACTTAACTATTAAAGCTAAATGGCGGTCTCATACCGAAACAGGTACAAGCAGCTGATGGAGAGCAACCTGGAGTTTTCTGCAGAAAACAACAAAACCTTTTGAGGCACAAGTTGGTATGACTACCACAAGCCCAATTGATCAGGGTGCTTAAGAGTCAGTGTGCCTGCAGCAAAATGAGCCATGCTTCTTTTTGTGCCTGTGGGGAAGTGCACAACTAAGCCCAGAGCCTGTCAGCCATGAAATGATATGAAGGATGTGGTGCAGTTTGTGGGAGTAGTGTTTTCAATAAGGTGCTCATCAGCACTGCCTTCAGAGCCTGAAAAACATGAGGATTCAGTTTTTAAATGAGTACAAATAAATGCTTGGATTGTGAAGGAAGAAAAATGAACTTTTCAGAGGGGCTTTTCAGAGGTTGAGGGGCAGACACTCCAGCTCACCCACAGCACCACCTAAGGCACTTCAGTTTGGGCCAAGCTCAGCCCACGCTCCTGGTACTGCTGATGGGAAAATGTGGGCAGCTCCAAAGCAGGATTTATCACTCTCACACTCTGGAAATGCCTCTCTCACATCCCCACGGCCTCGAGCACCAAGACACTCGAGTTAGGCTGTATCAATCTCCTCTCAACAGGGACCTCATCTGGCTCACCAAACCCCAGGGCGACTAGGATGGACTCAGGAGGGCTAAAAGGCATGGCTGAAGGGTTCAGCAAAACACATTCCTGATTTATTTTCAATACAGAGTTTCCAGATGGAATCAGCTCCATCCACAATTTGAATTCAAAATGGTGCAGATACATCAGCCCAAAATGCTGGGTATAATTTGTGCCCTCAGAAAACTCCCACAGTCACAGAAATTGTCAGTACTTCCACAAGACAAGTGCTGTTATGTGGCCCAGGCAGCAGGAGGCTGAGTGTTCACCACCACCACAGGCATTCGGTAAACAAACAAGAGTTTGCTTTTATTGAAGGCCTCCTTACACTGTAGAGAAAATGCAAAATGAACTTTGCACAAAAAGAGAAGCATGACAATAAACTAAAATAAATAAATTGTGAAATAAATAGTGACAGGCATGGTGGAAGTGAGTATTTTGTGACTTAATTGTAGAGAGCTTCCAAAGCCAGAACAAACACAGAGGAACAAAGACTCAAGGGCTCATTGCAAATGAATAATGAGATAATTGCTTTTAAATGGTGAATGTTGTAACCCCCAGAGGAGCCTGAAGGCAGGAATTCTGAATCTCAGGTACACTGATACCCCAGGATCATATCATATTTCATAGAATTATTGAATCCAGTTCCCAAAGACAAACCCTGCAAAGTGACAGTGAGGAATACTTAGATAAAGTATTTAATCTAAGAAGGAGGAAATAATCAGAAGAACACCCTGCCTGTGTTCATGGACAGATGTGCTGTGATGTGCTGCTAATTCCAGAAGCAGCAGGCAGTCTAAGAAGCAGGTACACCTCCTTGTAAAACAAACTTTCCTGTGAAGCTTGAAATGTGAAACTTTATTTTATTCCATCTCCACCAAGGCAGAAGTCTCATTTCAGGTACAGCAAGATATAACCTGTGAGAAGGATGCAAGGGATGTGCCAAACACCAGTTATAAGACTTTAAATATCCAATTTGACTCAGATTCCAAAGAATTTAAAACTCATGGCCATTAAATCATCTGAAATCCAATTCTGCTGCAGATCTGTGATACACTTCAAAGTTCAGCTGTGGTAAATTCAGAGAGCATCCCTGCTTTTCTTCAATTTATTAGCAGCATAGCTGAAACAACTATTTAATTTTTACTGGGCTGTGTTCTTGTCCTACTTTCTGCTATTAAGGCAGTGTTGCTTGTGCTAAAGGATAGGAAAAACAACCATTAGCTTCCTTCTCTCCTTCCTGTTCTGCAGCCTGGGTTTGTGAGCCTGTCCTTTCATCTGTTCCTACACCGGGCCTATGAGACTAATTAAAGTCCTGATAAGGAACCTTCCTCTGCACAGCATAAATGCAAGAAGTTTGTTTAGTCACTAAGTTCAAGCAGCAATGATCTTTGAAGTAATCTTTCCTTTTTTCCTTTTCATCCTCTGCCCTCTTGATATCGGGACCTACTTTGCTAATGCAGGCGGGTAATTTGCATTTGCTAGGTTAATTGTGTGGGAAGTACACGCTGGGACATTCAGATTTCATTTCAATATTTTATGTCAAACTCGGGCTGGATGTTTGCTCAAGACAGGAGGAGCTTTGGAGATGAAAAGGTCTCTTTGGTGCTCAAGGTGTCTCCAGGCACAGAGCTGTACTGGAGGACATGAGCTGTAATTAAAGATGAATTATGTTCGAATCTGACATATCAAAATTAGTGGGCCAAATGCTGAGAAATGCTGAACAACTGTTAATTAATCAAACTCCCAGTATATCAGTGTAATGCATTCAGCATCTCAGAATTTAATCTAATTTAATTGCACCTACCTTCATCTAAGATAAGAGTTAATTTCCCTATGGTCTTGAGCACTGTTTGCCAACCTGTTGCTTGCAAACTTTGAATGATCTCCAGGAATAATTCAAGGGGCCACATATAGCAGGTGAAACAAAAGAGGTTGGTGAATAATCTGGAGAGTTTTGATGGAACTACAGTGAGCAGGACATTGAAAATCATTACAGGAATCCTCAGAGGGGGATGACTTGCAGAGGAGTTCTTTGGGAATTATCCAATAATCAGAAGCTTGAAATTTCAAGTCTTATATTGAAGTCTTACATTTCAAATCTTACATTTAAGTCTCCTTTCAAAATGTCATCCTAAAACCTGACATGGGAGTGGACAAAAAAATCAATCTTTTTTTTCCAGGTATGGATTAAATTAAAGGGAACCATTTTGAAAGCAGGATTTTGAAAGGAACAGGGCTCAGAAACTGAATATATTTGTGGAAAGGGAGAACATGAGTCACATTTATTGGATTTGGAAGATTAATGAACATTTGGATGTTCCTTGTGTACAAATGTCACCTAACTCCAGACTATGAGTGATTCAGGTGAGAGAGAGATTAGAGCAAATAGATTTCTGTGTAATGTAATTTCAAATGAGTTTTGGAACTTATGTCTGGATGATTGGGAGCCAGTGCTCCTCAGAGCAGAGTTTGTTTCAATATGAGAGGAATTAAATTTTTTGTTTTTTGACTTAACTTAAAATTTGCTTTTATTTAAGGAAAGCTTCTGGACTTTTCATAGGGGAAGAAGATAGAGAGATAAGAGAATACTTTAGGTTTTGTTCCTGGGGGGTTTGCCACATCTACAGCTGAGAGGGCAGCAAGAAAGCAAGCCTTGTTTAGAAAATGAGGATCTTCTCTCCATGAAATAATAAAACCAGAGATTAAAGTTCAAAGAAGGCCGGATAAAAATTAGCTTGCTCTATCCCCAAAGATGTGACAGTGTTTGTGTGTATTTTCTGTTCCTGCCTGGTTCTTTTCACAGGCTCCAGCCTGTACTGGGGGCAGCCTCCAGCACTGCCCTCCCTGCAGCTGATGTGTCCATGGGTGAGCTCCTGGTGTCCCTGCCACCTCCAGCCCGGCCAGCTTGCACAGCTGTCCTGGAGAAGCCTTCCCAAGGGACAGGGAGCCAGTGCATGCAGCAGGGGACACAAGGACAGGAAACAGCTCTGGGCAGCTCCAGGGCAGCCAGGAGCTCAGAACAGCTCGTCCAAAGCAGCTGAGGCTGAGTCCCAGGGCACTGCTACCCCCAGGACCCTGGGCAAAACAAAGCAACCAAGCCATGGGAAAGAAACAAAACAACACTAGAAACAGGAAGGCATTTGGTTCAAGAGCAGCTTGGGCTCCTCATTCCCTAAGAAACTGACTACCAAGGCAAGGCAACAATGATGGAAAATGAAATAGAAACCTCTTTATGTATGTATTTTGGGAATGTGTTTAGCATCCAAATTCCATATAACACATATTCTCTTTGCTTAACTAGAGCTGACACAAATGACCAGTTTCACTGCACAAGGCATGAATATGGTCCTTTCTTCAAAATTTCAAAACAGCAGGAAATTGATGTTGCTTTAAAAAAATTTTAAGAAACACTTTTAGACACTCAATTACTCCCATTCTTTTCAACGTGTTATTATTGCTGAAAATTATTCATATGCTTCCAAGAAAATTAACTACCACTTGGGCCTCAAAATCTCTCTTCCAGAAGTTGCATGTGTTAAAATTGGCTGTTTGCTTACCTTAGATTTGTGATCTGAAGTTAGTGTCTGAATTTTAATTTCCGTTTCTTTCTTCAATTCAACGCAATTACTTCCTCTAAAAAAAAAAAGAAAGAAAACTTGCAAATGTGTGCCACAAGTTAAACATCTCCCCATTCAGTCAGCACTTACTAATTAAAATGTTAATCAAAGCTGAAGTGCTGCACCGTATTGGAATGAAATTATTTCTTCTGGCAATCCATTCACAACTTACAAAATATTGTTGGATTAATGATCAGTCAATTCAAACACCACATGATTAATTCTAGATTGGCCCAGCAATTATTCTGTTGCTGAGGATGTGTCAGGCAACTCCATTTATGACACTTGGATCCTTGTCCAGGCTTATAATGCCTTGCCAAGAGAAACCAGTTTCTGCCTGCAAACTTACAGGCCTATCCTTGCCACGATTTTAGACTCTGTTTGAAAAGTAATTTGCTTACTTGTATTTAGTTTGAGGCAGACAAAAGTATGCAATCTCAATAATTACCTCCCAGGGTGATGGGGTGCATTAAATTCGGACACCTACAGAAGGTGTGGGTGTCCCTCTGTGAGAATAAGTGAATGCAAAGGAGGGGCTGGAATTATTACTGGAATAAAACAGTATTTGAGAGAAGTCTGTTTGGACACCACTGCAACACTTCTGAGTTGGATCACCCTCTGCTGCCAAGTGATGCAGCTCTGTGTCTGGACAGGGACATGCTCATTTATCAGCTGCAGCTGGCCCTGGAATGATGGTCACTGCTGACTGCAGCCACATTAATCCATGTTTGCTCCAGAAAAGGAGATTTATGAAACTCTTAACAAGTTTAAATCCTATTTTCATTTCAAAGTACGGCTAAACTTATGGAAATTCACAGAAAATGTCATCATCACACAGTACCAGGAAAGCCCTGACTGAAAATAGTGTGTCTTGTTTTCCCAAGGGCCAGCAGTCATTTACTTTCTACCCAGAGCAAAGGAAATTTTGTAGATTTACAAAATTTAACACTGATTTGACACTCTGGAAGCAATCTAAAGTCATAGAGAGAGGCTCTGGCCACTGGTACCTGTGCCTGAAAAGCCCAGCAGCTGAAAGGGAAATGTCTCTGATAACACTGGGATCAGGTGTGGCTGCCATGGAATATGTGGCTTGGTGATCAGTATGAAGACACTGATTCTGAGGTGTGAATCACACATACTTCATCCCAAAATGGCCTCTTTAATTGCATCACTGGACTCCTCAGAGTCCCAGCCATCCAACCCACCAGCTGATCCTGCCTCTGGAAACAGCTTTCACCCTGTGCCAAGGCAGCTCCCAGCCCGTCTGGGGCCTGGGATACTGGATGGGACTGATGGGATTGTCCCCAGCTGGGGTGGCACAGCCCATGGCTGAACCAGAGTCACAGCTGGGGACAAACAGCCAGGGCCAGCCCAATGCAGGGTCACCTCCCAACCTTACACACCCCTGGATTTCTGGGCAGTCCCATCAACCAGAAGGATCTTTATGTGCCCTGACTCCAGTTCAGAGTGGGAACACAACCATACCTATTCCCATATGCCCCTCTGGGATTTGTAAGCATTTCAAGTGCATGACAGAAATAGCACAGGGAGCAAAATCCTGTCCATCTGTCAGTGAATTAGCATGTGATTAAAAAACCCTGCTTTGCTGAACAATATGCAGTTGGCATTTGTCACACCATGTGGCAGAAATGGACCACAAAAAAGTGCACAACAAGATCAGAGGAGAAATCTGTCTTTACACCTATCAAAGGCCTTTTTATCAGGAAATAATCTGACAATTTCAATATGAATGCCTTGAAAACATGTTCTACAAGTTCTCTTACAACTTTTATTCCTTGCAAATGCTCCAGAATGATAGCCAAGGAAATGGAGCATGTCCTGTACCCACTGAACCCAGGACTCTGGGTTCATCAGATCCTTTAGGTTCAATGAAATTTCTAAGTGTCAGCCAATGCATTCACTTTTAAGCATGTCCTTTAGTACTCTGCACAGCTGGGCTGGGCATAAGTACCTTGCAGGATGGGCTTTCAGGGCTCACCCTGGAGGAAACCCTTCATATTCTGCTGTGGCATTAAGAAGTGTTTCACAGCAAGTCTGCCTGTACTGATTCTGATCTGGCTGCTAATCAGATGCACACAGCTAGTCTTGTAAAACTGAAAGAGCCATCAGGAGACTGGGAGCTCTGGAGCCCATGGAAGCATGGAACTGGGGTAAGGAACAGGGCTTTGCACTGAGGCTGCTTCTGGAGTGGTCATTTCCAGTTTTATTTTTAACTCCTAATATGGAACTAGCATAAAGGCTTTGGTGTCCATGCATTATAAAAGTAAGCAAAGATGCTGCAGGTAGCCAATGAAGTGACCTCAAACTGTGAATCAAACTGTGGACTGCTCTGATACTTGTCCCCTTTTGGGGTGATCTGGAGAGCACTGTTATCCAGGATTTCCCCATATTAATTGCACAGGCATAGCCTTTTCCACCTTGAACTTCCTGGCACGCGTTCCTTGCTGTTTCGTCTGGACAGGCAGAGGCACTGGTTCCTGCCCAGGCCAACAGGAACACTGAGATTCTTAAATACCAGAGCTCAGGGAAACCTTTCTGCCCCACAATAATCCTGGTGCAAGGCCCAGAGCTCACTTCTCTGCCACTGTAGGAAGTAACCTGACTGTAACTAAAAATCCAGCTGTATCAGTAACCTTCTGCTGTGTTATAGTCAATGAAATTGGATCAAAGCCACATTAAATTAATCAATCAATCCTGCAGCTGGCCCCTCTCTGCTTGGAGAAGTAGTGATTTTCTGGAAGAAACTCCATAGATTGTAAGTATTTGTGTGCTTACAGCTCTCCTGTCTTGAACAAAAAAAGTACAGCAGGAACTGTGAGCTTTCAGTAATTGAGTGAGGAGAATTCTCCTTACCTTGTTTACTTCTGACAGTCCTGCTTCTGTTCCTTTGGCAGTTTACAGCATGTGCACTCAGAACCCCTCCACCATTCCAAGTGATTTATAGAAAAAGCATTCTTGGAGGAATCCAGTGCCAAACAGAGATCTATGTTCAGTATTCAGTGAGTGAGCTGCTGCCAGCTGCTGTTGCCAGATGACAACAATATGAAATTAGGAGCAACTGTTGGCATAGCTGGGTTTGGAACTCCAGTAATTCCTGCTGTCTCAATGAAACTCCAGTGACACAGGGAAAGGTGGAGAGCAGAAACTGCTGCCAGGTGAGCAGCAAGGCAGCAGCAGGTCCTGCCCCTGAGCTCCAATTTGGAATCAGACATTCTATTAAATTCATCAGCATCTTCCAGAACCTTTCTGGGACAAACAGGAGACTCACACAGATAATATCCCATCAGCCTGTGCAAGTCAAAACAACTCCACCCCAGTCAAAGGAGTAAGATTCATCTATCCCAGCTGAGGATCTGTAAGTTTTTTGTCAAAAAGAAACTTCAACTCAACAGCACAGCAGGAGTCTATTATTTTCAAACAGTCAGGATTTAAAAGCCAGCTTTTCCCCTAAAATCCAAACATTGCCACTTTCTGGTCACTAGAGCTGTTGAGGACCTGAGTCTGCTCTCACTGAACACAACAGTGACATTGCCTGGAGAGTGCAGTGAGACCACACTAGAAAGCAGAAACAAAATTAGAGGCAAACCCTTTGCTTTTACTTTTAAAATTCTGATAGCAGAAGACTGGAGAAAGGCAGAGTGAGCCAAGCATTTATGAACCATTCCTAGAGCTCATTCTCAGGCTGAAGTATGATGCTGCATTAAGCTGCAATGCCCTTTTGTATTGAACATTTTATTCCAGACCACAGTAGCATAAGAGATCAAATCTATTTTAAGTCTAAAGAAAAAAACAATTAAAAAAATACCTTACCCCTTCTTCTTGATTGCCTTCTCCAGCATTTTCTCATATGACACCTTTTCCTTGTCATACTGGGCCACTATTTTGTCAATCTGTGTGCAGTGCAGCTTCTGCATGGCACTGTGCTCCTGGAAAACAGCAGGGCCCCACCATTAGGTCACTGAGTATCTGATGGGCAATCTCCTTAGAGCCTAGGGAACATCAGGGTACAAACGCTCCCTTCTGACAATGAGGGGGAGCCCTGAGTGCTTGCATGGCCACACAAGGTGCACCCAGCCTCAGGCACACACACCAAGGGCTGCCCAAGGGAAGGTGGGCTCCCTGCAGCACATTTCAGGCCATTTAAACACACCTGCCTTTCCTGGGAATCCAGCTACCACCCCTTAGTCTTCCCCTGTAATTTAATTAGGAACTGCCTGTGCTAGTGAGCAACTGTCTAAAATGAGGCTCAGAGAACTCTAACTGATCATACCTTGGCATGCTTCTTCTTTAAGGCATTCAGCTCCTTCTGCTGTTTCTTTAAATGCTTTATATAAGCCTGAAAAGAGAGAAGCTGGATCAATTCTTCTGTGGCCACACTGACTTTAGCCAGGTAAAATCCTGGCTACTTAAAACAAAAATTAGGAGCACCTCCTGAGAAGCTTGTGTCAAATCTTACCTTCATTTGCTTTAAATCTTCTATCTTCACTTGAGGAATAAGGTCTATACCTGGGAAGGTATTGATACAGTTTATCTAAAACTTCATACATACTGGTATATCTCACATGCAAAATTTGAGTTTTACCCCAGCTACCTACATTGAACTTAACAGTTAATTAATTAATGTTTTTCGCCACGTGAAAAAAATAATCACAGGTTAATGAGAAAATTATTGATCAAGATCTAGCTAAAATACAGTCATTTGCTTTTCCCATGCACTCTTCAATCAATTGCCTTGTGGAAAAAGAATTGAATCAATGAGTGTATTTTAATCTCTTATGGCTCTGGACTGAAGTGCCAAAACACAGCAATCTAAGAATTGAAAAAAGGTCATTTTTGCAAACACAGCAAACCATTTATGAATATTAAAACACCTTCAGAATTTTGGTCCCTAGCTGGAGATTGCTCTGGCACCACTTCTTGCAGTGGGGAGTTTCTTGGGTAGGGTTATACATGACTACAAAACTGGGGTGGGACTAAGTGTGCTTCTCCTCGGGTTAAAACACAGGAGGGAAAATCACCTTGCACCCTCTGTGGTAACAGAAACAAAATCTGCATGTTGCTTAACAGCAGGCTAAGGGAAAAGGAGCAGAAGGGTGCTCCAAGACTAAAGGAGAGTTACAAAATGAAGGAGAAACAAAAACCAGAAGAAGTGAAAATTCTGATGAAATTTCAGTCCCACAAGACTAACAGTACTATGTAGAATGAAAATGAAATGAATGAAAATGTTTGGTCACTTTAACTGCAATGCAAACAAAACCTGATCTCATTTAATGTTTATGTTTTAATAAATGCTTTGTGACATATTAAGGGTTTTTTAAAAACTACTAAGCACATCCTACATGTAAGTGTTAATAAAAATGTCAATACAATGCCATGAGAGTTGTAATTTTCAGGTTTCCCACAGAAATGTTGGCCTGTGTATAAATACCCTGTAAACATATTTAGTTAACTGCTCTTAATAATGTCTATGGACTGCAAGATTTCCCTTGCCTTGAGAAGGACTTTTTGGCTTTAAGGTGAATTTAACTGGAAAATGCTCAGACACTGTAAAAGGAAAAAAAAAAAAGAGGAGGGGAGGAGAGGTAGGCAATCTCCTTAGGGAATATGAATATTTTCTTTTCTTAGGAGCACAAGACTCTGCTCAAGTATATGGTATCAACCTTAGTCTAGTAAATGGGACAGGAACAGATGCAGGCACAGATAGAGGCTGAAGTTTTCAAAAACACGAGTGATTTGACTCTTACTGAAAATCTGGGACCAAAAAACCCCCACATTCTTGTGCATTTCAAAGCCTTCCCCATTTTGCTGCTCAAGTAATTTCTAACAGCAAGATGAGCTGTGTATTTTAACAGTGCTAGAATTATTCATATCCTAGTAAATCAGAGAGACAATAAACACAAAATAAGCATCATTACATGGGACACAGAAATGAACAGCTCTATTTTAACATGCAAGAATAGGGATGAAAACTGCAGTCAGGAGAGTGTTAGGCACTGAGACCTCAGGCCTGCATCAGGCTGCTGGGGTTCTAAGCAGGCTTCCTCAGGGTTTTATTTTAAAGCATTTACTGCATAGAACCACTACACAGAACATTTCCTCAGCTGTCCAGGCTCCGTGGCCAGAAGGAATCTGCTGCCACCCCAGCAAATTTCATGCTTGATTAATGCATGCTAAAGCTAACACTTGTGCAAATGGCCATGGCACATGAAATGAAAACCCCTCACTGCATGGAGGGACCCGGGGCTCACACCAGGGAACAACTTCTGAAGGAGCTCAGGTGCCAGAGACAACTGAGGCTTTGATTCACTGCCAGTGACTCCAGGGAAATGGCACTTGGGCTCTCAGCAGATCCCTTCCCCAGAGTGTGCCCAGCCATGGTGGCTTGAATTTGAGCCCAAGAGCCCTCTGTGCTCCTCCTCCCTCCTGGCAATCCCTTGGGCCAGGCTGGATGAGGGACAGAGCCACATCCTAATTCCTGTGGCCCACTCACAGAAATATTTACTGTCTTTCATTCAGCTGTACAAATTTGCTTTCTCGCTTAATCTTCATTACCTGTGATGATATGGGAGAAACAAATAATCCCATCTGAGTGTATAAAATGACTTTGTACAGTGAATGGTGAAGAGTTAGGAAAAAATACTTACTCACTTGTAAAGGAGCACATCTAATTATTTTTTTTTCCAATAAACATGCCATTTCCATAACCACTATTCAGAAAAAAACCACACTGTAAAAACATTTCTAATTGTTGGGAAATCTCTACAGATTCCAGTGAATTCTAAATACCTTTAATTACTTAACTCTGCAACCCTGCCAAGGGATTTGTGAGGGGAGAAAAAAAGCAGAAGAGTTTCTGCGGATATCTGCCAGATAATAGTCACTCCTGTTGGCACTGCTCCAGGAATCCTTACTAGTAAACTGTTCCCAGAGCCATGCAGGTTATGTGTACAATACACAGATAAAATAAACCCCTAGCTGCTTACCAGAGGCTGCAGCTACACCAAGAGGGGACTCTGAAATAAAGCTGCCTTGCCTTTACACAGGCATTTCAGCAACACACTGAGTGCATTTGCAGTGAGCCAGAGACACCTCCCAAGGGCAGGACGCTAGGAAGGAGTGCAAGCCCAGAATGAAAGCTGACTGTGAGTGCTGCTCTGTGCCCCCGCAGGGCACAGCAGGACCTGGGTACCTTTCTTGGCGTCGGTGCCAGAGCCCAGGCCTGCGGTGGTGCTGGGCCGGAGCTCAGAGCTGCTCTGAGGAGTCACAGTGGCTTTGGGATTGTTGGCCTTGCCCTTCCTGTCGTTCTTGGAAGTGTCATTTGGTACATCAGCTATGTCACTCTGAAAGAAACACCAGAACACAGGGATTGTTCTTTTGCCTGCAGTGTAAAAAGCTGGGAACATTTCTGAGTGGCTCACTTTAAACATAATGAAATTGCAACATATTTTCAAACAACACTACAGAAAAGCATTTGTAACCTATTCCAAATAGCTACTTACTAAAATACAACTTGGTCCCCATTTATTAAAATCTGCCCCCCTAAAGGAGGTATTAATGTGATCCATGAAAAGGCAGTCAGTATTTCAATAAATGATATAATGCAGACAAAGTAGCTTATATTTGAAAATGAGAAGTGATCAGGTGTATTGATTGGAGAAGGACCAGTTCACTTTAAATAAAGAGCACAGCATGGACAGAAGTGGGTTGTGTTTTTCATTGATTCTACTTACAGTTTCAATGCCCATAGCTCTCATTTGGTCTGCTCTTTTTTCTGTGATTGACAAAAATTTCTTTGGATCTGATAAAGCATCCACAATATCTGTAAGAAAAAAAAAATCAACTTTTTGTGACCTTTGGAGGCATCTGGAAATGAGTATTTTACAAAAGCTTTACTCCATCCCTGGTATTATGAGACATGGCTTGCACCAGGAGCCCAGCTTTCTGCAGTGAATTTGGCAGGGCTGGAAGTGCTTATTCCCAGAGCACCTGCAACATGGAACAGCTCTTAATGCACCAAGGTGTGGTTTTAGTCCAGATCCTTATTTAGGAGAACCCAGTGACTCTGTCAGACTGCTCTAACTTCCTCCCAGTTCCTGACTGTAGAATCTGGGACCAGGATGGGATCTCCTGGCCACAAAGCACTAACTTTGTCCCTTGGCTGAGGGTGCTGACTGACTGCAGGGAATTGCAGAAAATGCCTCTGTATTTCCTAGCTAAAGAGCAGTTTCAGGTGGATTGAAGCAATCAGGTAAATCTATTCTCAGCAGCCTTTGTGATATTCCATGACTGGCTGTGAATGGCTTTTCTGGGCATGACCAGCATTGAATCCTGCACATGACACAGCACCAATAGTGGTACCACAGCCCTGGGTACCACACAGATCACTGAATTTGTTTTCCAGTGCAGTGACAAATGTGCAAGCACAGCTTCACAGCATGACAAAGTCCCAGCAATTTTTTACACGCACATCAAATAATCTCTTCCTGTGCTTAACTCCAACAGTCAAAAAAAAGAGAAAATATCCAACCCATCAAAAGGCTTGGGAAGAAACTTGCTGTTCAAAGTAGGGGCTGGGCTGTATCATCTCCCTCCCAACCTGAGCTGTTCTGTGGAATGCTCCTCTGAAGCCACAGCTGACAGGCCTCCCATTCCCACAGAAGTTTAATTAAGCCCTCAGCACTACCCTTGAGATCTGTTTGTCTACACGAACAGGTCATCTCCAGTAACTGCTGTGACCCACTGATGTCTCCTGAAACTCATTTCTCACACACAGAAGCCACGTAGGATTTATTTTTAGCCATGGCAATGGCTCGTGGCTGAGCACTGAGCGTGTCTCCTCTCCCTAAGCCATCAGGGATGTCCTCCTGTCCTTGGCAGCGCAGACCCAGGGCCGCTGGAAACGTCCCAGTTTCACTGGAAGCTGATGGCAGGAGCTGCCAGGTGAGGATGCCACGGTGTCTGGAGAGCAGCACCCCTGTGGGCTGTGCCAGGAACCAGCCCAGCACAGCCCAGGCTCAGCCCTGCTGGGGAGCTGACCCTCCCTGTGCCCTGCTCCTGTCCCCAGTCCCAGGGAGGTGAGCTGGGGTGGGAGCTGCAATCAAACCCACAGCTCTGACAGTCACTGCATACCATGAACCTGACAGCCAGGCTTACTCACTGCACAGCTCCAGAATAGAAATGTGTACAATGCTGCTCCATTTACATCAGTTTGTGCCATTATTGTGGTTTTACTGGGAACAGAGGCGCTGATGCAAATAAACCACAAGAAATTGCAAAGCTATAAAATAAAAAGAGGAAAGCACATCTTTGAAAGCCTACAATGCATCACCTTTTCTAGTTATTATTCAGGGCGCATTTTAAATCTTACTCATACAGGTTAAAAAGACAAAAAGGAAAGAAGAAAGAAAGTAGGCAGCTACTGACTTGAGCTCTACCTTCCTACAGGTTTGCTGAAACAACCCCGGAGATCCTAGTGATGGCTCATAAAACAATGAGCAGCTCCCTGCAGAAGATAAGTAATTAAACCCCCATGCCAGCAGAACACTGATGACTGATTGCAGCTGGGTGTCAGAAGGGACTGCCAGGTGTTCAGCGTGCTGCTGCTCTGTACCAAGGAGGGAAGCACAGGAGGCACATGCAGCCTGGCTGGGAGGGAGAGCAGAGCCAGAGCTGAGCTCACTGAGCTCCTGCTCATGCACAGGCTGCTTCTGCCAAGCTGACAGCAAACCACAGCCACCAGCCCTCCCTTCCAGCAGCACTGTACTGCACCAACACTCTTACTGAGGGTAGCAGTGCTTTCCCATCTCTACCAAATAAACCACTCACGGCACTGCTGACACTGCAGCACACAATGTGCAAACTCTAAACTGGTGCTGAAATTCTCTTTGGAAAACAAGTCTTTCCCTTCTGCAAGTGCACAATGCAGTTTAAAAAAATAATTAAACAAATATTTTCTCCTAGTGGTTCCAGCATACTCAGTAGCTCAAGCCACATGGAACTCAGTGCTAAGTTTAAATTCTGTCCTTAGGAAAAGTCTGGTGCCATAGAACATCAATCCCAAATCAGAAGCACGTCCTTAGCTGAGAAAATATTTCAACTGAGTCATTTGCTGCCAAAAGCCTCAGTTCAGGTAAGAATTAAATGGCACACTTAAACATGTCTCTTAGACTGATGGGTCAATTACCCTTGAGAATCTCAAGTTTGGGCAGAAGCTCACACTTCTCTGGAGACAAAGTCCCTGCAGTTAAATACTGGGGATGAAATGTGTTGCCAATGGCATGGTGGTGCTCCAGGGCCCCTGGCACACCTCCAGCTGACTTGCAGAAACCAGGATTCCACATGTGAACAACACAGATGCTCCTGTAACACCTTTTTTCCATGAAATGTTGTTACTGAAGTCTCAGCCTGTTAATTTTTTAAAGCCTGGATAAGCAGTAGCAAACACAGACTTGAAGACAGGTTAGGTCAACCTTCCCTTCCTCCAGTTTCTGCTGTGGGAATCACTCAGAGAAGTGCAGCTATTCTTTGCATGGCTGCAGGTTTGAAACAGGTTTTGTGAAGAGAAAAACACTGGTTTGATCAATATATTTCATCAGCAACCCCTGAGGTAATTGCTGCCGAGTCAGAGCTCCAGCATTCTGTGCAACTCCTACTTTTCAGTTTGAAATGGTTCATGCATTGTCCAGTGCACAAGCAAATTTCATCAGGGTGCAGAACCCTTTCTGGCAGGGGGAACTCAGGCATTACACAGGTTTTAGTGGTGCAGTGATTACTCTCAGCTCTGTGCTCCCACACACACGTGGCCATTGGCCACTGCTCAGTGTGAGTGACCACAGCTCTGCCAACCTCATCATAGAAATGTTCACATGAAATTAACTTTCCTGAGAGCCCAAACACAATTAAACTACACTAAAGACATGTAAAATCAGGATAGAAAAATGCAGAGAGGTTCTGGATGCTGAATTATTTCACTGGCCTTTTACAAAAATATGCCAGTATTCCCAAGAATATAGAATTGGTTTTGTTTGAAAGAAACTATGCTTCTGCATGTATTTTTTAATACTTATAGACCAATCAATATAGATAAAGTACATCCGAACCAGATGTATGTATAGATATTTATGTCAGACAATATGCAATAAAATAAGACTCTAAATTGTCAACAGAGAAAAATCAAATTGGGCTAAGTAGTAGTAGCTTATTTTCCACATTATTTTCTCGTTTTAGTACACTAATGCTTTTATCATCAACAGAGGCAGGCACTTGGTCAGAAAGCAGATCTGTCCCCTCAACATGCAGAGATCCCAAGGAGTTACAGAAAGTTAGGAATGCTGAACCTCCCCACCCTGCAGCACTGCACGTGTGCTCTGGCTGGCACAGGGAGCACTTCAGGGCTTGCACAGCAGCACTCCAGAGCCACAGCACAGCGAGCCAAGGCTGCTCTCACCTCCAAAGCCATCAGGCACGTAGGTTTTGAGCACAATGTTGCAGAACACGGTGGGAAGGGAGAGGGGCTTGTTGCCCTCGTTGCGCAGGGAGATGTGTCTGTAACCTGCCTGCAGCCCATCCAGAGGCAGGATCCTCTGCCCAATCAGCTTGTTGTTGTCATCATACACGGCTATCCTCAGCACAGCAAGGTCAGGCAGGATAACCTGGAAAGCCACAGAGCACAGACACGTCATGGCACTGACAGAGCAGCTCCTCCCCGCCTCCCATGCGTGAACTCAGGCCAGAAACTGCCAGCACTGCAAGAGCCCAGGCTTCAAAATGAAATCTTCCTAGAAAAGCTTTTTTCGCCCTAAATAACGGGTACATTTCAGGCTATGTAAGTTCTGCAACTCACAGTTACACCAGCTAAATACTCTGTGTGTTTATTTCTCATTACTGGAGACTGGTGGCAGTGATAAGAAGGCAGGTAAATATTGCATGGGAAATGACAGATCCAGCAGCAACCAAAGGGCAGGCAGCGCTGGATCAGGAGGAATTATGACAGAGAGATGGGATTTGGGATGCATCCAAAAGGGCAAGGAGAGTGCAAGCACAGGCTGCTGGGGATGTGTGAGCTGCTGCAGGCTGTGCTGCACTCAGCACATGGCTCAGGGCATGCACGGGAGCAGGGATGCTCAGCCTCCTGCCCCTGCCCAGCTGGGCTGACAGGACAGGGACAGGGGACAGGGACAGGGAACAGAGACCCCCTGCCCTCCCTGCAGCACAGGGGCTGTCTCTGGGCGTGCAGCACTGAGGAGCAGGCACACAGCAGAGTGCAGCTCCTCTGCCAGCCCACCCCATCCCAACCACACACTGGGACAGATTTCCCCCCTTCCCTGCCTGGGGCTACTCCCCAGCACTGTGGGACACAGGGGAAGAGCTCAGGGAGCTGTGCCTGCCTGCTCCCTCACACCTTCTCAGCCTTGGGGGCACAAACAAAGGCTGCTCTTGGTCTCTGAACCATGGCAGCAGCTCATGCATATCCTGCTCTGCTCAGCTACAGCTCAGCCCTCCCAGCACAGGCCACCAGCAGCACTGCTCGCTCCTCCCCTCACACAACAGAGGGACAACACAGAACCCAGGTCAGAGAGACTGAAACCTTATCTTAACTAAAATAAATATGAGAAAACGTGACAGGAGAACAATCAAACACAGTACCTGAGAACAACTGTGTGGGGTTAAGCATCAGCCTGAGGATAACCCTGCAACCCGAGCAGGGCAGGTGAGATCTCTCCCCTACAGGGCACAGATCAGCACATCTTTCATTACATTATGCTCTTTGACACGGATTTGCCACGATGGGGACTGAGTTTATTGTTCCCTCTGCATTCATTTGTTCTGTGGTATCCTGCTAGGACTCGCACCCTCTCATGATGTTTTAGCACAGTGCACCCCGTGCCATCAGCACCTCCAGCCAGAGGAATCCTTCCTGCTGTGCTCCTGCCACTCACCCGCTGGATCTCCAGTGGGTGCTGATTACACTGCTAGCTATGATAAGGGCCTGAGGTGGAGAAAAATAATCTCTTGGCTGACCTAGGAGTTCAAGAGAGCCTGTGACCATGGGATTGCTCACTGGAGAGCAGTAATGAGAAATACTGGCCTTAGTCTCTGTGCCCATGTCCCAGCACACGGGCTGCACTGGAATTTCTGGCCCTTTTGATGTAAGAAATCAGACAGCAGCAGCTGCTGGTCACACAGCCAGCAAGTCATGGGCAGCACATTGCTTGTGCATCAGCATCTTCCCTGTGCTCCTCACACAGAGAAAAGCACCTGGAGTCACATTCCTTCCACAATATGAGCTCAGAAAAAACTCTTGCATCACCTCAATTTCTCTCAAAAACTGGCTATGCTGTTAGGAAAGCAGATTAAGTGTGTAATATATCCAAGTGTGAAGAGCTATCACCATTCAGCAAAAAGTCTGACATTTGGACTACAAGTCTGAACTTTGGAATAAAAGAGCAACAATTCTGCATGACAACAAAACAGGTGTAAGCAAAACAGATGTTATCCAAGACAGCACTGTAATACATGTAGTCTGGATGAAACTCCAGGCAACAGAAGAAAAATAAAATAAATATATATATATATGTGTATCATATATATATAAGGACTGAGAGATAAAAACTGAACACGGACAAATGGTCTCTCTCTTTAAATCCCCCATGCCAAGAAAAAAAGGGTTGTTTTTTCTTTCAGTATTGGAAAAAAATAAAAAAATAAAGAAGGTACATGATGCACATGGACCACTGAAGGAGGGAGCTGGCAACACGCCTGAGGAACACAGCACCCTTCCAACTTTTCCATGTAATGACATTGACCTTAGCTTTGGATGCAGCATCTCACCTGCCCTCTGGGCTGAAGGAACAGTGCAAGATAGCAGCCACTGCCAGGGCAGGGAAGAAGGAATCTCCAGGGAATGATGGTGTCCGCCAGCGGGGCTCACTCTGAGCAGACTGCATACCTTGAACACAGGCATGGTCACAGAGGAGGTGCCTACCTCCAAGTGGGAGGAGGAAGCAAAGGGGAGGAAAAAGCCAAATGGAAACAAAAACAACAAAAAAATCATGTGATAGCTACAGAGGTTATCCGTTAGAAAAATAAAACCAAAGCAGAACCAAAAAGAAAGCAGAACCAAAACAAGGCAAAACCAAGCAGGCTCCTGAAAGCTGCCCCCAGCTTTCCATGTTCACAGCAGCACCCGGGGCCCTAGAAGCCTGGCTGTGGAGCAGCACTCGTCGGGGTGAGCAGGGAGGGCTGGCTCAGGGGGCAGGCACAGCAGGGCCCTGCACAGATGCCACCCTACCTTCCTGAAGACAAAGGACTCCTCGTTGTACACGGGGTTCAGGCCGTTGTTCATCACCATGCGCGTGCGGAACTCCTTGCGGATGGTGTCCGTGGGCAGCCCGTACATGTCCACCTCCACGTAGGTGCCGATCTTCTTGTCTGACAGGAACTGCCCAGAGATCACCTGCAACACAGCAGCACAGAGAGAACGGCACTGCAGGGCAGGCATGTGGGAGATGGAGGTCATTTCTCACTGGCATCGCCCTGAGAGATGGTTTACAGCTGACACATGTGCTTAGTTCCTCGTGTGCAAAGGGTGCATTTCAAACTGCACCTCCTTGGAAAAGCTCCTGTGGTCAGGCATGGAAATACAACTTCACCTGAAATGGTACTGCCAGCAGTGCCTCACAGATGCATCCACTGTATGAAAACACTGAATGGAACAACCAGAGCTGGCACTGCTATTCCACAACTTCTAACACTCTGCTCAGAAGCACTTTTTAATATGATACATCTTGAGCACAAGAAGTAAAAGGAAACTCTTGCTCTGTTTTCACTCAGGTGAAGGTCTGAAGGTAATCACATGTCACTCTGACTCCATATTATGTGTTTGGAAAGTGCAGGATGCTTCAAAAGTGAAAAACCAAAGCCCCACAGAATTCCTCAGTATTGTTAGAGATATGCAGGTTTGTTGCCATTTCACCCGAAGTCAAGATTAATCTAGCCACAGCAAGTGATTACTCCAGGGAAAATTTTTATTTCACCAAGATGATCTGTTATTTAAAAATACAGATAATGTTTTCACTACTACAATCAAGGAGGCAAGAAAAAGACTGAAACATGATTTCACAGAACTAAGCTCATTCCAGATCCTGCTGTTTGCATGACCTAACATCCTTCTGGGGAACACTCTGGATAACAGATCTGAAAAGTTTTGTGGTTGAGAGTATCATTGCTGGCTTTTGCTCCATTCAACTCCTTAATTACAAAATTTGCATGGAATTTTACACTAGTTTTAGTCACAAAAGAAAGGTAACTGTCAAAATGCATGACCTAGGAACCATCTGATCCCACTTCCTTCTTGGAGGGGCTGTGCTTTGATTACCATTTAAGAAACACAACATCAATTAAACATGCTTATTCTACTAGAGGTGCAAATGGAGCTCAGTTCAACATCTGGGATGCATGAGGAATGCTTGGCCAGCGAGGGTGTGAAACTGAAATGCAGCCCATGGAAAATGCTAAATGAAAGCTGAAGCCTTTTGTTCACCAAGCAGGTTTTACAATTGTCAGCCTCCTCCCAGAACTGGTCACCTGACCGTGCTGTGGAACTGCAGCAGGAGCTTTATGGACTTGGTTACTCACAGACAGCTCCAGAGTAAGGGCCTGCCCCACACCAACCATTTTCTGCATTCATTCTGAAGATATCCTGTCCCTGTGTGCCCAGACTCCTCCCTGCTCTGTGGGGACAAGTGATGCTGTGCAATTTCACATTGTGCATGGGAAGGAACTTCATTCCTTTATGTGTTTGTGTGGGCTCATGGATTTCAAAAAGACCATTGTGTCAGAACACCACCATGAACAATAACACATCATTTCCAATTCTATCATACTCCACTCAGATCAAGGAAACAAAGGCATCTTAGCCAGCAATATTAAAAAAGAAAAAAAAATAACCAATGTGCTGAAATCTGCCCAGTCCAAGCACATTGAGTGCATATATGCAATTTCTGGTGATTCTAAGTGTGCTTTTGGGTGTGCTGGCAGCTGTCTGTGCTGCCTTACCTGCACAGAGCACGTTGCAGCAATAACACCATCCACAGGAGTTTCGGAGAACGGGTCGAACGTCCGGTCTGGTCGCCGCATGAAATCTGGCTTTAGTAGGTACCTTATGGCAAAGGGAAAAAGAGAAAATTGTCCTTGATTGGAAATTAAAATGGTATTAAATACCTATGAAATGGATGTTCTGCCCTTACACAATGAGCTCGCCTAAGCAGTGTAAAATACAGACTCATTCCAGCCGCAAGTGTGAGGAAGTAAAGGAAAGTATTACAGTTGTCTGGAACATAGGTAAACACTAATTTTAATTTTGAATAACCAACTACAGAGAGATTAAATCAATCTGTGATTTTAAGATAAAAATAAATGTAATATAATCAAGGACATTTCAAAACAACTGAACAATACAGTTAAAAAATACAGGGAGTCACCATGTAATAAAACACAGATGCTCTCATTTGTTTTAATTCTTTAACACTTGGGAAAAGCACAGAGGGATTTTTCAATGTTATTTTTCCAGATGAAGCAGCTCCTTGTGGTTCAAGACTTGTACACTAAATTTCAGCTTGAAGCTGATTTTTTCATTGTGGTTGCGAAACCTTGGGGGAAACAACTGATAATGTCAGTGCTGACAGATTGTTAATTATAGCAGCATGAAAGGTACCACCACAATAACACTCACAATGCCTCCCTGAGGACCTCACAGTGCATCACCATATCAATGAAGCCAATTTGTGCTCTGGTGCACCAAAACCCAAGGATTCTGCCACCAAAATGAAACAGCAGTTGATCACTGCAGAAAGGCTGCACATTACAGACATTCCCTTCCACTGATGGAAGAAAATGTGCAACTGGAAAAATCTTGCTAATTCTGCAACCCTGACAGACAAAGCCGCTTGAAGATGAATTTTTACCCACCCTTAGCCTCTAGTGAATCACTGGTACACAATATGATAAAGGCCTAGACAGAATTCAGGGATTAAAAAATGCTAGAAAAATTCCAGTGGAAAGAATGTCAGTGCTTTCATCCATTTCTTAATAACACTGCTTCTGTTTGGAAGCAATATTACTCTTTTTTCTTCCATTAAAAATATTTTTCTTCCATTAGAAAAGTGATTTCTTAATATTTGGTTAATTTAAGGCAGGTTGGGGCAGAAGGCAACTAACTCTCCTTAGCCTCTGTTTTCAGCCTGCTGCAATAAGAAATGCTGAAATGACCTTGTTTGATCAGCATGAAAGGTGCAAATCAGAAAAGAGGAGTACAGGCAGAAGGAAATGCTCAGTTTTTCATTTCCCTTGTGACTGAAACACCACCACATTTACACTGCATATCAAAACATTACCATGCATTACCACTACATTATTATCAAAGCACTGATGGAAGAACCCAGGAATTTAGTTGGTAACTTTGCCTGTCCTTCAGAGAATTTGGCAAAAGTAAGCAGGTACTCTTTTACTAAGCTGGTGGGTCCAAGAAGAAAGGAACCAAACTCTGCCATAAGAAAGCTTTGGTTTTCTTCTGTTCTTGTTGTTTTGATTGAAATTACAGCGAGTGCACTTTGTCAAAGCCAAGAGCCTCTCCTGGAGCGCTCACAGCTGCCATGAAGGCATGGCATGGCCAAGCACTCTGTGCCATCCCCCAAATGAACAACTGGACCAAGCTCCATCCGCCAGACTTTCTTTCTGAGTAAGATCTGCAGCAGTAAAAGAGCAGCTCCTTCCCAGGAAGAGTTTCCAGACTCTGATGTGTTTCTGGACTGTCATTTCCTGTGATTCATTAAACTTCTCCTTTTCTCCTGCTGCTAATGACCAGTCTATCCTATTAAGGTCTATCAACATTTGAGAAAAATCTATCAGCATCCCCTGAACATCCTTTGTCATACAAAAATCATGAGCAAGAACTTAGATGAAACACTTCAGGATTCTCTGTGAAATCTGTGCTCCAATTAAGAGTGCACAGATTAGAAATATGTTCCCTATGCATTCAGATTCCACTTGTCCAAGTAAATTTGGCAATTCTGTGAACTGCGCAATGAATCTCCACTCTGAGGCACATCTTCAAAGAAAGGCTGAGAACAGAAGGTGGAGATGGATTTGAATAACTGTGCACAGCATTCATGATCTTCATAATATGAACACAATGCCTCTTGGATCTCATTTGAAAACTGGGCATAATTAAAAGCATCTTCATTAGAATACCTCCTTATGGGGGAGAATGTTCCCTGAACTCTGCTGATTTCTACTCCTCACCTAGCATCCCATTCTCCTTTTGTAACACATAATTAATAGTGACAAAATCTTATTAAAACCTTAGTAAAGGACCCTGATGCACAGTGCCAACAGTTTAAATCACATCACTCACCCGCACGATCCATTGTACTCAAACTTCCCTTGATTCAACTGCATTGCTAGATCTGCCAAGAGAGAGAATCTACTCACTTTCCTGCTGAATAATGCAGATCATGCACTAGATCAGAAAATAAGACTGGTTTTCCCGAATAATAAGTTTAAATTAAAATTTAATGCATATAAAACCCACATTTAAGAAATAATAGGAAGAAACAGGAAAACTTCATATTTTTTCACAGGAGTAACAGCTTTACCAAGCACGCTGAAGTCCATGCTGGGCTTAGGAAACAGTATTTCCCTGAATTCAAACACACTTGGCAAGCAGGGAAGTAACAACTCTGGACATGCCAAGTGTCTGGGATGGGATTTCCAGCATCTAACCTTTGGTATCTACAGTGCAGATTGGCATCCACATTTCTGCAGATCACTGTGAATAACAGAGGGAAGCAGGAGCTTTAACAGTGCAAATAGCCTCAAAATAACAGAGAGACTAGAGGAGACATCCTTGAGAAATGCACTCCATCACAATGACAGCTCTGATGAAGCTGCCTGCAGCCTGATGTCTCAAAGCAGGTGAGGTGCATGTCCCACTGGTTTTCTGTGGACCTAGCTGAATAAAATACCACACCAAGAAAGCACAAAGATCACAGCAGCACTGCTTACTTTCAACATTTGCAAGCATGTGAGTTTTAGTGAGTGCACTGTTACAGCACTGGTAGGGGAAGATCATGAACGTGTAACAATCTCCCTCTATCCAACCCTCTCCAGAACTTTGTAAAAATGAAATGTTTTCCTGCAGCTTTCTACTTACATGAGAATACAACCTCCTGCTTTAGCAACAAAACAGGTATTTCTCCTGCCCAACTGACTGTACCTTCAAAGGGAGCAAAACCTGCTCTGTTATACAAAATACAAGACTGTCTTATGCCCATACCAGTTATTACTGGAGTTACTGGGCAGCTGTAACTTTTATTTCCACAATCATCTTGACAGCACAGCTGGATCACAGGGGAGGAACACAGGAAAGCTGCTCATTTCCACTCACACAGCTACTACTCTTAATGTGCAATTTAAAGGGGCTGGGAATGACATGCAGTGGGCAGAGGCAGTGCTGGGAGCAGAGTGAGGTTTGTATTTCTGCTCCAGCCTCTCTGGCATGCCCACTGGAGTGCTCTACAAGCAGCAGATTCCAGTGCATCCCCTCTCCTGCCTCCTCAGCTGGTGAGCCTGGGGCACAGCTTGGCAGGACAGAACTCAGGGGATGACCAAGAGGAGTGTCTGCTGTACCAAAGACACTGTTCAGGGAGGGGCAAATGAGCACAAAAGCACTGCCACAGCCAGAAAAGGCAATGGGAAATGGGTCTGTTATATATCTGACTGAAGACATTCCTAGATGAATTAAAAAACCCAATGGAAACAACAGACAGCCTGCCCTGCTGTACTCACACCTTCACTGAACAGGAACATACATCTCCTCTCAGATCACCCTGTGGAGAGGCATTTCCATTCCCTGGCATCATTCTCTCAGCTGGGATCTCAGACCTGAGCACATGACTGCTGACACCTCCCAACAACTGGTCTAGAAATGCATTTGTCACACAGTCATTACTTTTCACCATCTTAATCAGCACACTCCATCCTTGCTTTGCAGACATGCACCCAGCTGTGCCAGAGCTGTGTTTTGTGAAAGCACTGATTTCCCTGTAATTAACACTTTTTATTAATAAAAGCCATTTCAGTGGGAAGATGCTGCACTCCATTATTTTTCCATAAAAGGACTGAATTTTCCTTCTGTGCATGGCTGTTTTTATTGCTCTTGTCTCACGCTCCCGTGCTCCCACCCCGCTGCATTATTCAGCCATATGTCTGCTTCCTGCAGAAATGCCAGCAGCAAATCCACGGCATCTGGCTGACAGCCACTGCCCAGGCCATTCTTTAGGAGGGAGGGTCACTCTGCCTACCTGGGGTCTGATAGTTCAGTGAGACCATCTGGCAGCCAGCGTTCCAGAAAATCTGCGGCATGTAATTACTGGAGTCCACACGGCCCCCCTTGGGGTAAATCCGACTCATCTGCCGCTTGTTGTAGCTGGGGAATCCATCAAGGAAATCAAACAAACACCACACAGGTGCAGAGGCATGGCCTGCAACCTCCAGCATCGCAACACCTTTTCAAACACTCCTCTTCTGTTACTCTGTTTCTCCTTCCTGAGGCACTTCCCCTTTCCCTCTGTAGACATGCAGCACTAAATGCACAAAGGTGCACTGCTTTGTTTTAGCACTGGCAAGAAGGTGGGATGAGGAGGTGAAAGGATACTTCACAAACTCAGTGGCATGAGTGTTCAAATCTCACTATCAAAGGATACCTCACAAACTCAATGGCATGAGTCTCCAAATCTCACTATCAAATCTCACTATCAAATCTCACTATTTCTCCTTGCATGAAGTAGGAGAAATGTCCCCTTTCCCTTTGTAGACTAAACACTAACTGCAGAAAGGTGCACTGGTTTGTTTTACAACTGCTAGGAAGGTGGGATGAGGAGGTGAAAGGATACTTCACAAACTCAATGGCATGAGTCTTCAAATAGCCCAGCCCGACAGACTCGTTGAAGGAGGACATGTTATGGTGAATATTACGTTCTAGAAAGAAAAGACAAGACATTTTAAAACACCTCTGTAATGATGAATCACATTCAAAATCATGCACTATAACAGCAGGACACAGCAGTTTTTGGTCTCTTTCCCCATTATCTATTACTCATAGAATCAAATTATAGTGATAAGAAATTTCATAGAATCAAATTACAGTGATGAGAAATTTCACAGTATTTCTGACTCGCTGCTCTGTTTCTCTCCTTGGGAAATCAACAACATTTTCCTTTTTTGTTTAGGACAACATTGTTATTCAGAGCCTGCACTGTGTGGTAGATAAGGCAAACCAACATGATAAATTGTCTGGTGAGCAGTATCAGCTCACTGCTGCCCACAGTGACAGCTGTGCTCACCTAACTGCAGAGAGAGATGAACTAAAAAAAGCATTTCAGTTGGGAAGGCCCACGGAATAGAACCAACCTCAACAGCTTCTATTCTCCCAGTAATTGAGTGACTCCGTGTGGATGACTAATGGAATTACATGCTAACTTCACATCCAAGGAAACAGGTCTACAAACATACTGATGATGGTCATTAAACTACTAAAGTCTTATGCCCTTATTTCTAAATTCAGGAAATGTAGAGATTAAAAAACTACCTAGGTTAAGCAAATACTTGTATTTCATTCAACCTTTTATGTTACCTTCTGCTACATCGAAACCTTGAAATTTTACAGGCTGAGCATAGTTGACCATTGTTGATAAATATGGATGTATATTGGTTGTGGCACCTACATATTTGTAAGATGCCATCCACGCTTGTTCATCTTCCACAGTTACTAAACCCTGGAAACACATTAAAAAGAACAATCACAATTCTGTCTGCAAACACTGCTGCTGGGTTTTTCAAAGGTGGGACAAAATTACAGCCAAATCTGCAGAAGGTTAAAGACAGTGCAAATTAATACAGGAAAAGTGGAAGTTTAGTGTCACAAGTTAAAATTTATTTCCTTGCTGATATAAGACTGTCAATGTTATAGGATGCATGCAAGAGGGCTGATGATAGAAAAGCTCCTAAGCAGTGGGTAAATATTACATGAAGTTAGTAGGGTAACACTGAGATAAAAGATAAATATTCCAATAGCCTGAACAATGCTGGGAGGTAATGATCCATCTTTGTCAAATAAATTCCAAAACCTGTGATCTAATATGCATTTTCTGATAGAAACTGTGTGTACTTGGCACTCAGTAGAACTTCCTCACCATCAAAAGACAAATGCGTTCCACTATTAATCTTTCCTAACAGAAGCAAACAAAAATGTAGGAACCACAGCCTTCACTGGACAAACAGGTGTCACAAGACAAGAGACACGGTACCAAGTTCCTATTCTTACCCACTTCAACTGATAAAATCCTGAATCCATCACCTATATAAATATGCACTTTATTTGTAACTGAACTTAGAGTTTCCTACAAGTATCTCATCTGCTAGAAACCCACATCAGGAGGCATTTCTTAATTGGCTCTCCCTGTCCAGTATTTGCCTTTCCCTAAACCAGTTTGAAACACATTCTTTTCACTGAAATTAAAAAGGAAAAATTCTGTCAAGCTGAACAATCTCTGCAAATTCATCATGTTTTTCCCACACATGCATCTTTGGTTGTTCTCCTAGAAAAAAATCTGCCTGTAGGCTGGCAGTGACCTTCTGCTGGGAAGTACAGTGTATTCAGACACGCAGCCTGCAGCTCAGTGTTTGGCAGAAGCTCTCCCCATCCCTGACTCAGGAAATACAGAAGAGGAAGCTGGCCCAGGCCCTTTCTGGGTTTGGAGGAAATGCAGCTCACAGACCCTGCACTGCTGCAGCTCTTTCACTCCCTGAGGGGGCAGAGCAAAGGGAAAGTGAGCCCACTTACCAGAGTGATGGACCTCTGCCTGCCAGGCGGGGCAGGCACATCCCAAGAATGAAACCCATGTGAACTGGAACCACTTATGCCTCGCTGTGAGATGATTATAGTCAAAGGAACACAATTTTGTGGCTGCACAGAGTGACTGAGCTAGCAGAATGAGTCCAGGTACACATTGTTGTATGTGCATTTTGGACTGAATTACACTTCCAGCAGCCCATGAAATCAAACTGACAACACATTTTAATGCTGATCACCAGGGCTCAACCCAACTGCTTTTCAGAAATGTGCACACTGAGGTTTCACAGATGTGATCCCAAGATATGCCCACTGCACATCCCTGTGTTAGGAGAAAACAGGCTTTCTCCTTCGTTACTAGGTCAATAGCTGGTTATAGAGCTTAGGTCAAATTCAGGCCAGATTTACCCACTGAAACCAGTTCTTTTCAGTGTCTTAACTTCTGAAAGGCCATGAACTCAGGCAGAACTGAACACCCACCTCCTAAAACCCAGGGCTCTTAAAGTGCCTGCTTTGACTGCTCAGAACAGCGAATCTCATTGAACTGCCTTGATCCATCAACACCTCCAGGCAAAGGAGTCCCAGGCAAAAGGGAGCCTGAGGGCTGTGGTGCCTCAGTGCCAGGCAATGGCACCCTGCAGGTGCAGCCCTGTGACTGCATCACTGACACTGCCTCAAAGACAAGGTACCAGACATTGGTGCTATCTTACTCCCTTGCAGACCCCTGATTTTTACAGTAGGGCTATACTCTGCACTGTTCGCAACTTTAAAACTGTGAGTTAAGAAAGAGGCAAGGAAGGAATGTTTCCTAAAGTCTGCAGAAACAAAGGAATGCACAGGAGCCTTGTAGGGGATAGAGAAGACAAGGGAGAAAGTTGATCTCCATGTCATTTACACCTCCCCACCCCTCAAGAAAAGGAGCAGAACTCACTTAGAAAACAACACAGACTGAAACAAAGTGTGGTTATGAACAGGAGCAGCTTGGATGAGAGAAGAGGAGGAGGAGGAGAGAAGTGGAAAGAGGTGGGAAGAGTCTTACAGAAGGGATTCCTGGGAGAAGATAAATGCAGAAGTCCCAAGGGAAAGCAAAAGGAAGAAAGAGAGAGGAAAACAAAGTGCAGTCAGGGTAAGGGCGGAGGGCAGAATCGAGCAGGGATGACAGATCTCAGCACCACTCAGAGAACAGGTTTCCCAGTGCATGAGATCAGCTACTCCTAGGCAGGCAAAGGTCATGCACTCCTGTCTGTCCCCAGGTTTCTGACAGCCCTGACCCCAGTGTAAAAGCACAGCAGAAGAAACCCTAGAGGACCAAAGGAGGTAGAGTCACTGTCAAAAATAGGTGTGGTGAAAACTGAGCATAAAATTGTTAAACCTCGGAGAATGCATGGTGAGTAATATGCAGGTTATATATAAAGCAATAAAATAAACTACATTACATCCTGTGTCACCTTTTTATTGTTTTCTTGCTCAGAATCTTCAACAGCCTGAGGGAAAGAAAATATATATACATTACCCAAAGAAAAAGCAATAGGAAACACTCACAGTAAGGAGGAAAAAATCCTCAAAAAGTGAATGCATTTAGCAAAATGTAAACCCTTTTCCACCTTCCTGCAAGGCTCATCTGTTCCATACACTTTCAAAAATTTGTATCTGCTCCAAATTTGGGTACACAAGATCTGAAACTCAGCCATGGGAACAGGATGAAGGATGGCAGACAGTTAAACCAGAGCTATCGCTAGATGCTGGCACAGGAAGCTTCAGAGAAGAATGAAAGAATAACACACCCAGATCAAGATACCACAATAAAGATCATCTGATCTGCATGTGCAAACTGCCAGGCTCTGAAAACTGAGGGTAATGAGTGCTGTAAACTGTGCTTGACATGTCCACAGTGGAGAAGGCCTGTCCCAGGATGTTATGTGCAATGCAGCAGTCTGGGGCCTGCCTTCAATTGAAAGCTACTGAGAATCTCAGGTAAATACTGTCTGGCACTGAGTGTGCATTCCTGCAGAGTAAAGATCAAGGCACTGATCAGCAGAGGAGCAGAGAAGTTACCCAAGGACACGTGCTGAGGATGAGTGACTAGTCTGGAAACAAACAAAAATCCTCAAAACAGTAACAACAACAACTACAAAAAAACCCCATCCAACCAAAACAGCCCAAAACATTCAGGGAGTCAAGGAGCAGTGACTCAGGAAATGCAAAGAAGTGCAATGACACTGCAGTGGGAGGATCCACAAGAGCTGAGGAAGCCAAGGTGATGACAGAAGATACCCAGAGGCAGGTCTGACGGCTCTGGCGCTGCTGCACACACACTGCTGCTTTCCACTCCTACACTTCTGTCTGCAGAAACATCCAAAGCAAGGCAAGAAGGAGGGAAGAAGTGGCCAGAACACTGGAGAGGCAGAGGAACATGATCTGCTAAGGTACCTCAGCCCTCACAGGAGGGCTGTGCTCTGCAGCCAGCAGCACTAATGCTGCCAGTGCCAGAGCAGCTTACTCTGAATTCCAGCTCTGGATCTAGTTACCATCAATAACATCCAAGTGACTGATAGCTGCAATGGTCAGGTGTGAGTGGAATACAGAGAACCTTTTCCTGTCTGCCAGCCTGACAGAGCCCCCTCTGCCACACCTCCCTGGGAATTACTGCCCTGTTCTGCCTCCACGCTGCAGGAGGAAGAGAGAACCCACCCCAAGGTTAACCATGGAACATGATACAGGAGAACCCTGCAGTGAACACACCGAGTGCAGCCCTGCCAAAGTACTGCTGAGCAAGGAATTGTTCACCTCTGTTGTTCCTCAGCAAGGAATCATGTTCCACCTCTTACTGGGATTCTGCACCTGAGGTGCAAAGTGAAGCACACAGGCTGGAGCAGGGAGCTGTTTGCTGCCTTTAACTGGGATTTCTGATTAAATCCTCCACTGAATACTGCTCCCTACCCACTGATTCTGTTTCCTCAGTGAGTGCATATCCCACCTGAGCAAGGGAAGAGTGGTTCTGGCTACAAAGCTGTGTGTTCTCATGAACCTGAAGGTGAGGGGCACCTAGTGAAGATCTCAGGTTGGAGTCTTGTGACAAGTGCTCTGATGTCTCCACAAAGCAGAGTGCCTTTTGCAACAGCCCCCATACAAAGTTTTCATAACAATATATATATGAAAGAAGCAATCCCACCTTTTTGACACTGATGGCAACAGCTTCTTTTTGACTGTAATCATCTACAAGGTCACTTCCAAACTTGTACTCAGGATGAGCTTCCTCCTCCTGGTCAGCTGCACAGAAAATAAAAAGGATCAGTGCAAAACCACAGCAGCTGCTGTTTTCTTTGCAAGGCATGAAACAAATGGCAGCTGAATTCACAGGTCTGAGTGCGGCATTTCTTAAAAACAGGAGTAAAATCCAGAGTATTAGATTTGTAAGAGTTAGTTAACTGTTTCCAAGTGCAGTAAATTACAGTTAGGGCCTCAGATGGTTCATAAGAGAAATGTTATTTGCTGTATTTTTGAAGTAATCAGTATTTTGCTCAGGTGTAAAAACAAAAGCCATTAGCCTTGGGAAATAACAAGAACTGATGATAGAGTTCTTTAAATAAAGACCTAAGAAGATGCCAGTGGCCAGGGTTGAGAGCATTGTCAGGCTCCTTGTGTGCCCCTCTACAGGGAATTGTTCTCATCTGCTTTTAGGGTGATTTCCATTAGAACCTACAGTACTCAAAGCTAAAAACTAAAGGGGAAAGAAAAAGTCAAATAAATGAGGAGCAGGTGGAGGCTAAAGGTGGGACATTCACTGTGACACAGGGCACAGGCCATGGGCTCAGACACTGGCAGGTGGGGTGTGATTTACACCTTCTGAAGGTGCACATTTAAACACACAGGGTGGATCACACCCTGAATACATGGATTCTTCTCTGCTGGCCACATCACTGGCTCAGAGCTGCACATTTACACTGAGGGTAACTGAGGTTTGGCAAGAAAAATCCTTCCCCTCATTTCATCCTTATACAGTATAATGCAGTAATCCCCTCTGATGCTGACCCAAGTGCTAAACACAGTGACAATATGTGTTCTCAAAGCAAAGATCACAACTTCTTAGCCTCTGCCTCTCAGAATGAAAGTCTGATTTGGTTGGTGCTCTAACACAACTTCTGACCAGTGAATGGAAGGTGAAATTGTCCAGGGTGGGGTTGCCAGGCTGGGGTCTGCACAGATGGCCCTGCACTGAGTCCAGAGCTGCTGCTGCCACAGAGCACGGGCACGAGGGAAGGGAGCACCCAGCCCAGGGATCTGCCACAGGCCTCCAGGAAATTCCTCCAGGAAATCCTCACCACTTTCTATTTCCTCTTCATTATCATCCTCCAGGATATTTACAGGAGCAGCAGTTTCCCCAGCCTCCATCATCTTCTTCAGAGCATCAAGCTGTTCTGTTAATATGAAAAATAAAATTAAATTAGTCATGATATGAACAGTCTGTAGCACAAAGAAATACAAGAGAACCATCACAAATGATTCCCTGTTCCTCAGATCATTCTGTTTATTGACTCCTCTGGCTTTGCAGTTGGTAATAAAATTTTACAGAGTAAGTAACACCAATAAACACAGATTGCTGTTAGATCTGAAAAGTGGCCAGCAGTAAGGGCTGTGCCTGAAGCTCACTGAAATGAAGGGAAATACTTCACAGGAGCACAGAATCAGGTTGGGAAAGGCCTCTGAGGCTGCATCCAAGCTGTGCCTGAAGCACCAGCTCTGTCAGGCAGAGTGGCTGAGTGCCACAGCAGCCTTTCCTTAACCTCCGGCAGGGACAGGGACTCTCCACTTCTCTGGGCAGCCCACCCCAATGTCTAACCACCCTGCTGGGAAGAAATTCCCTGTCACTAAATACAATTTGCTTGACAATCCAGGAAATTCCTCTAAATTCCCATAGACTACAAAGGTCTCTGGAGCAAGCACATTGCTCCCTCACAGGATAAACAGGCAGCTGCCCCTTCAGGGTTTGATCCCTGCACATGGGTTTCCAGCTGTGCTCCCATGGGCATTCAGTCACACAGGAGGGGCACAGCCAGCTATGCCTGCAGCCAGTGCAATGCCTGGGGGTTTCTCTTGGGATGGAGAAGGAGCAGGGTTTATCATTGCAGCCACACTGGGAACTAATACAGCAACATTATTGTTACTGGAAGGAGATAAACATCACAACTGGCAACAACAGCAAGAGGAGCAATTTGAAATTCCATTTCACTTCATGCTTATCCTGGAAGAACACAGCAATGCAAACAGACTGCTGTCGGCAGAGCTGACAGGAGATTCTATCTGCCTCATATTTCAGCTCAAGCAGCAGTGTGATAAAAGACCCAGGATTACATTTCTGGGGCTGGCTGTGCTGTGCAGCATGCTGATAGCAAGGCCTAGACTGGCACTCACACGAAACACAAGGGCAAACCAAATGTTATTTACATGTAGTTCCTGTTCTCCCAGCACTGAAGTACAAACAATCTGGAAACTTTGGTAACAAAGCCTGTTTGCAGTGATCTGGACTTTTGTTTATTTAGTATTTGACAAACGTTACTTACTCTTTTCTACTTCAGGTTTCAGCCTTTTATTCTTTATGAGAATCTTTCTTTTGAGGTCATTGGGAGATGGCAGGGCTTTACCTTGTTCAAGCTGTAAAACAATTCAAAGAAAATGCTCAGTAATAACGACACCCTTTGGCCTCCCTTTCCCTGTCTGGGCCTGGATTTTAGGGCAGGAACACCGAGGAGCAGTGAAGGAGCAG